GAAACAGACACAACAGACGGAAACTGCGTGCCGTGTGTAGAGGGCGCGGGTTGTTCGCTCTCGTCTGCGGATGTCAACCGAAGTTCGTTTGTAATTATTCTTCATTCTCAGTTTTTAAGTCATTGTATCACAATTTATATTTATAACTGAGTCATTATATTCATTTATATTTTTTATTCGTATCTTGATCACTACATTCACTCCAATGCAAAATAAATTTTTCAGTTAGTCAATTTACATACTTTACCGAGACTTTTTTCTGTATGTATTTTATATTATTTTATGTATTTTTTCTGGTTAAGCCGATGACGTTACATAAGCCGAGTGAAGCCGATGTTCAAAGTTATTTAAATTGAACTGCATTTCATTTAATTTTTCTTACTCGTGTATACAAAAATTAATATTCGGTATGAGAAGAAATTTCGAAAGTTTGTCTTCTGATTTTTTTGACAAAAAACTTTAAAGCGTTGGGTATATTACTTGAAATTATATTACACGCTAAAAATCACAGCTAATTTATATTTCCCCCGTGAAATATAAACAGTTGCACACAAAAGGAACAAATATTGTTTAACAGGCCGTATTTCGAAGAATATACTATAATAGCGCATAGCAGTGAAATTAATAATGTTGAAATACGCGACTAACGCATGCAAATAAAATTGATATACGCAACTAATCAAATTGTCGAACTACTTTCATGATCTTATATCGTCAGCATTACTTCAAAGCACAAAATGACATTTTTTGATAAAAGGTAATTCTAGTTCAGAGTTTAAAATGTTGAGAGACTATTTAAAAATCTAAAATCAGAGCACTGTGTTACTCATATTCAACTTCAGAAATGTGTGTGGGAATAGAAGGGGACGTTAAAATATTTTTATGAAGATTTATATCTTGAGATAAGGCTTTTTCAAATTTTAAAACAATATCCACAATCTTGAATGACGATGATATATGAGATTTGCACATATATCATCGTTTAGGGCAAGTGAAATCTGTTCCAGGACTGGAAAATGTCACCAAGCGATCAATAGAATTAGAAAAATACATCAGATATTATATCGAATCATGTAATTGACGGCATGGTATGAAAAATGTTCATGTTATATTAATTATGGCTAGATAAAAACCGTTAGGTGAGGTTTCGTGGTCTAAACGATATATATGGAACTAAATTTTATATATGTATTACTTGTATTAACACACGCAGAGGAGATTGTTATATGTCCCTTTTATGTCTGAAGGAATTTCAGGTGTAAATCATTTTTTTTAATATACATGAATATACAAATCGTGACATAAGCAATATTGTTTCCAATTATGTATATCAGACATTAATAGCATTAAAATAATTCTTGCCACTTATCCGTGCATTGACTGATCTCCATCAAATTATATTATCACAAGTATTATGATTGGATTATGGATTTATATTATCACTAGTATTATGATTATAATACTAATTATATTATCACTAGTATTAGTAATTGCATGAATCTAAATACACAAATATATTTATTATGTTATGGTCCAGAATTTATTTCCATATTTAAACCAAGGTTCTAACTCCATTTGAGGGCCGAAATTAAATTTATGAGTAAACCAGGATCAAATTTATTAGAACAGTTTAGCAGTTTTTCTCTTTATTTAGCTAAAGTTCAAATTTAGCACAGAATGAGCCCAAGTTGCTAAAGTTTCTGCACAAATAGTGATCACTTCACCACTTTTGACCGATTTAAATGGATAACTCGATCAGGGGCATTTGAAACTCTCACATAGGCTTTTTATTTGTCTACATCATCAATTAATGGAACCAAATAATGCTTCTACAAACCATTCAAACATTTATTTAGGATGAATAATATTTTTTCAATATTTATTTCAAATTTTTGTGCTTTTGTATATATTCGTTTTGTGTGAAGCGGAAGAAAGATAAAACTGTTATTTTACATTACACAATGAAGAAAAAACAATCTTGAAGCGATTTTTTAAGTGTGCCTTTTATTTATGATTCAATGTGCATAACCCTTTCTAGAGCTTACACTTCATTTTGCATTTTTCTATATGACATTTATATAGTCAGGCAATGTGTTTATACAATTTATAAGTGGCGGATTTCGGTCAATTTTTTTTCAGGAATTAATATGTCCAAGAATTTGAAATGTATTTAACTCTCAAGATAATAACTGATTATTTTTGTAATAAATAAGCTTTTTTAATCATCGCCTTGGAATTATTCCCTCATCAAATTAGCCGGGAGTTAAAAATCAGTTGATAATCGTCATGTCATGCATGGGTTTAATAATTTACCTCACAATTCCAAGCTTAGATTTTAACATTAAGTTTTATGTACCAGATTTATCCTGATATCATTCGTTCTTGTGTGATATTGTCATTCAAGAAGTAATTTTTTCTAGTTTCTAGGTTTTCTAGAAACTAGAAGGAGTAATTTTTTCTAGAATTTCTAGTAAATCAGCCCGAGATTCAGCTAAAATTATAATAACGCCTCTAATTTTCAAGTTGGTAAAGTTTTATCATAAAAAAATCCTAAAGTTGGTCGTCTAAATATATTTTTCTTGAGTATATGACTTAATTTTACCATAGTGATTCATGCTCATTTGCCCAACATTGCCCGCGACTAAACATAGACGACAGCAGAGCTCTGCGCTGCTACGGTGACAGTCCGCAGGAGCGACAACAGATGCCCTGTGGCGACCACTGCGGCTCCATTAGTGTAACTTGCATTAGTGTGCGGCAATGGTCCATTTAATGCTTATCTCATACAATTAGCTGCGATAAGATACGGCCCTCACAAATGGCCACACGCGGCTTTCCTGTTTCGTCTTCTGAGGGTAGATGGTCAAAACACGAAGCTTGATTTTGACCATTTAACAGAGTGAGGACAGTAATTTAGAGCATATTTTAATTAAATTTTTTGATCTTCACTGTTCAATTCTATTTAATAATCGAGGTCTGATTTGTTTTTTATCTGAATTTCATTATTTCAATATATTTATTAACTGAATCATAAGTTTAGATCGGTTTTAGTTCATCTCATTAATCAATCCATTGACAAATTTAGAAACTGATTAACTACAATACTTTAAATTCTCTCCCTCGAACTCAGAATTTTTTCATGCTGATTATCTCTCATACGGTCCACTGTCTGACATTAGTCTGTTCATTTTACCAACCGACTAAAAAGCTGTAACTTATTCACGTCTTTTCCATTTGTACAGTAAAATTACCGGCTCAAAAACTGGTTATTAATTCTGACTCGTCGAAAATGGCAGACACTAGAACGAAATTTCAATACGAAGCCACTGGTAAATGCTATTGACCTCTCTATTAAGATTTTTTCCATTGTGAACGGTATTTTTCAAAAATAACTTATTTTAGCTGTTAAAATATAGAGTGATTATTTGTGTTAATGAAAGTTTAATAATAGCATGACACGGCTTACATCAATGATGATTAAAGTTAGGATCTCTTATTCTCTCGATTCAATATCCATCATAATGATTATTACTGGTATATTGTTGTTATTTAATCTAATTACCCTCTTTCACTCGCTTCATTCCCCGACTCATGAGCTTGTTATTTATTCTTATTGTCTTCTTTCATTCGGTCCAATCTCCGACTCCGGCGCTTGTTATTTATTCTAATAACCTTCTTTCATTCGGTCCAATCCCAGACTCAGAAGCTTATTATTTATTCTAATAACCTTCTTTCATTCGGTCCAGTAACGTACTCTTGAGCTGCGTTTATTAGGCTGGCATGCCAATCCCAGCGCGGCGAAGGGTCCCAATCTCCGCCTAGAAGAGCAGGCTCCTCCCGACACCGAGAGGACGCAAGTGAGGGACGATGTTGTGGGAGTCAACTTCATTTTCAAGAGACCTCTTACCGAGGGAGTGCGCGAGGCAGCTGCGCCTGAGTGAAGTCCTGCAGTCCAAAGTGACTTTTCCAATTGCAGTCAAATTTTTGTAATTGGTGATTATTCAGTGGTCGTATAGAGGATAATATCCCTAAAAAAATCTATGACTATGGAATGAATTTTTTGAGTGTACTCAGTTTTCTGTTTTTACGATTTGGTCCTGAAAATGAATGTAAAGGAAATTTATTTTCTCAAAATGGGTATATTCAATGTTGAATTGATGGATAATTTTTTAGCACCGATTTAGAAAATTGGTCTATGGAAATTCGTAACCTTGTTTGCTAAAATCAAGTTAAAAAACAAGTACAAAAAGTTGAATTTCAAGTTTATAAACAAAAAAAATTATCGAAGCGTGACAGTGCAGGTAAAATAAACATATAGCGCCTGATTCAGAGCAAAATGAGTTGGGGCGGTCATTGATTGCATCACGTTATTTTAGAGTAATTTTGTGGATAATGTCTCATGAAAAAGTCGAATTTTCAGCATGAAAGCGGATTTATTTTTCATCCCCAGACAAAAATTTCATTCATGGAAAACGCACTGATTCAATTAATATTCTTAATATTCACAGGTCAATCTTATATTCGCTTGCAATAAGTTCTGACTTGAAATTTATTAATACAATGTTAAAACCTGACAGATGATTTGTTAAAATGGTAAAATATATGCTCATGGCGTCAAATATTGCAGTTTTCAATGATTTAGCAGGTTGATATATACCGTGGCTCGTTTTTGTGTGTCAATGAAAATTCAGCAGCTGCACTAAAAAATTTAGAAGAGCGTTGAGCATTTTTTGGGTACCATAACGAGAAAATTTCGAATTTTTTTTTGTTAAAAAGAATTGTAGAAGTGTTAAAGTGAGAACCAAATTTCCTCGCTTGCACAAACTGAAATAATAGCTACTCATATTTTGGTGGAGCCATTATTAATTATAAAAACAAGAGTATTATCATCTTTAAAAATACGAAAATTTGTAACAGAAAATCTGCAATAAAACTAAAAATGCTTCTAGTTGATTAAACTTTTTTGAGTCAGCCAGTTCTGCGTTCAATTGAAAAATTATTCGATTTCAAAGGAAAATTTTACGCCGACCAGTTTGAAAGAAAAGAGAAAATTGCAGCTAAAAAAAAGTCGACGGAATCTCGAAATAAAATTTTCTAAAATTCCCTGCGTGCAACCCCAGTCATAAGGGGATGATGATGACCACTGCGGGTGGACCAGCCCAGCCGGGGACAATAATCCCGGCATCATTTGCAGGGATGCATAACGAAACCCTAATCCCTGACCCGATGACGTGCATCCCTGCTGAAGGCAGCCATACCCCAACAAGAGATCCCTCCGGGGGATTTTTGTGGCCAGGGGCAATGAAAGAAGATCAGCCGATTCCCCATCACCCTTACTACCCCCACCACACCCACGCTGCACCGTTCCTCATTCCGGAAGCGGGATTCGGGGTGAATCAAACGTCCCAAGATGGAGAACTGATGGATACTCACACATCGACCCCAACAGCAGGTAAATATTTAACTTTTAATGATTTTAAAGCCTGTTTATTAAGAAATTATGGTTTCTGGATAACCAGTTTTTCAAGAATAATTAATCTTCGTCTTAGTGTACACAGAAGCAACACAGCATGACTCAAAAGAAAGAGAGGAAAATCACATGCTATTTGTGGTATAATATATATAGTGGTATAATATTTCTCCTTACTTCTTGCTTCTCTCGGGAATAGGATGAGCTTTGCGAGGTAGAATTAGATAAGATTAGTTAATATCGGGATGCTAACTAAAACATAACGTTATGTTGTAATGGAACACTATTATTTGGGTAATAAATATAGGCCAATAAATTTACGAATCTTCTTTGAACAAAGCAGGTAGTGATTGGGTTGATCAAATTTCAATGTACAATTATGATTCAAAGGCTTGGTTCATATTTCTTAATTTTTTACTGATTCGGGCTGAGTCGAGCGACTCTGCGTTCTTCAATACGCATATTCGAATAGCCACAAATTTATGTTCTGTACGTGAGCAATCAAATAGTTAGGTTCTATGGCTCCAATTTATAAAGAAAATAATGTTAGGTACTCTACTTTATATTAACTATTTGATCTTTCAACGGCAATAATACCGATAAGTTTGTCTATTAGCAAATTATTCTCTCAGGATTCCACGCCAAACAATCAGTCAAGAAAGAGGATTTTAAAGACGACAATTACTTCACTGTGCGGAACTCCTACCAAGAGAAATACCGGGAATCTTTTTTCAAAGATGATGAAGCTCCACGGCAGAGATACGAGGAACTGAAGTTCGACAACATCTCGGATGAATTCTCTGTCCATAGAAAATTATTAACTTCCGACGAATTTCAAAATAATCCAACTTACGGTGAAATGAGATCCTATATAGATGGTCGCGAAATGCACGCAGGCATGAATAACTTTCACCCATTAAACAATTATTCGAATTTCTTTCACCCAAATAATTACAGTTCAACTAACTATTTATTACCTTACTCAACCTCAAGCCTTTGCGATGGCACGGATACTCATCTAGATCGACATTCATCCATACCATCATCCATGGCGGTGCCTTCATGCCCAATCCTGCCTCCATCATGCATGTCACCCATGAGTAACTCCAGTAATTCACCGGCCTCTGGGGTCTTCACCCAGTCATCCATGAGTGACATGGGTGGATGTTCGGATTTATCGGATGCTGGAAACATGAGGACACACTTGGACAATCCCGGATTACCACCAGGATTAGGGAAGAATGGGTATCCTTCAAGTACCTTGGAGGACCTCCAGCACGATTCGTTGACCAGACTTGATGAGTCTAACTATGATAGACAAGACGACCTGTTGAATCCATCGATGATGATGCAGTCCGACCCCCCGTTGACATCCCCCCACGTCAAGAGCTTGAGTTCCCTTTGCCCCCCATTCCCCGAGGCCAGAGGGGCATATACACCCCTTAACGCGGCCGACGCCAACGCTAAACTTAAAGGTAAGTTGTTATTATTGGTTTTAATTCAGAATAAGCTATATATGAGTGTGTCGGAAAAGTGTAAATAATATTTTCTCTAAAATTTTAACAATAGTTTTGCAAGGCAAACTGGAGCCATATATAAAGTAAAATTTAAAACAATGATGCGAAACAATTGACCCACCTGGCACATCAAAAGAAGGTTGGGGACATATTTTCTCACGCTTCAAGCTAAAATAATAATAAGTAACTTCTTTAGGAGGTAAATGTTATTTTACTCATTGAAATCAGTGAAATTGTCGTTATGGGAACGATTCGAATATTGATCATTAGACATTGTCTTGTTGTCATGGCATATGGAAATTTTTCATACAAATTTATGATGCTTATATTGTTTAGTGTTGATTTTACGTCCGCTATTCCTTTGCTTGACTGCCACGCTAAACATGTTGATATAGCCTTGTCTTTTTTGCAAAATACGAATTAAAGAGATAAATATTTTTTGGGCTTCATTTCAGTGAAAAATATTCCTAAATTCAATTTTTCCTATCATCGAATTTGAATTTGAAAAAAAATCTGAAAAAATCTGAAATGTTATCATTTTCGTTAACAAAAATTTAATCGAATTTTTTCGTCATTGATATGATTTCATATACCAACGGTGTGTAACTATCGGCGACGACTTTATTGCGTCTGGTTCGAATTGTTTCGACCATGATGAGCTGCAAGTGTTTTTTACACGTCTACAATATACATATATAAAATGTATTATCAGCTTTGTGATGGATAATCGAAGAAAATATAGAATTAGATTCATTAATAAACATGCCGGAGCTTTCGGTTAAAGTTAAACACAAACTTTGTGTCGGAATTTCTATTGATGTTCTGCGAATGTGTTTAGAAAACATTCTGGCTTAAAAATGTTACCCACAATACGTTATACTTACTTGTTCAGGGAAGTAAAACCTAAGCTTCCCTCGCAAACGAAAAGACTTGTCATTTTATGGTGAAGTTTGACAGTAAATTTTGTGGTGACTGCAAAACAACGGAGTCGTGTTTCTTGCTTAGCAGTAGGAAACTTTTATCTCCGTTTCGCTACACGGAACTGTATTATGGATACCTTGGTGGCTAGCGAGGGTAGAAGCTTCAAGTAAAATCTGCCAAAAGAATTTGATCCAATTTTTTTATTTTTTTTTATTTATAGTAAATCTTCGAAATTTAAATGAAATATTTGAATGCGTAACGTGCATTTAATAAAGATATTACAACGATATTAGATATTTCAACATTTGAACAACGTTGCCTCTTACTCGTAGACAACAGTTTTTGTTTGTGACGTATATGAAGGTAAGCTTCGTATGAGATAAATTAAATAGGTGAATGTTTTGCAATCATTTCAACATTTAAATTTTATCATTGAATGTGTTTTTTTTGGCAAGATAAAGACCGATATTGCCACGTAAGTTGCAACCGAATGGCATTCACGTTTTGTAATTCTAGTTATGTCTTCCATTTTCGGCAAAACAGAAAGTAGCAAATCGAAAATATAATTTTTGAAGTTATTCTTGAAACAAATAGTAACAGTGCAGTGACATTATGTTATATAGTGTTTCATTACAATGAGATTCCGGTCACCATTATAACCAATCTAAGGAAATTTATCAATCATTCCCGAGATTGAACGTGCAAATTTTGAGAGCCAGTATTTTTTATTCTCTTCAAAAATAAAATAAAATTTTTATGGCTAGAAAATCTTGGTTGCATTAGCTAGCGATATACGTTCCCTACTTCAGTGGGTAAATAATTCTTTAATAATTATGTTATTGGTTTATCATGATTATGGACAAATGAATCTATACGGTTCCTGTTTTCGTGTAGTTTTACTTGCTCAAATCATCGATTGAAGCCGAATTACATCTTATATTAAAGATAAATTGGACTAAATAACCTTTTCTTGTATTTTCTCAATATCAATCTTTTTTTTTTTTTTTGAGCTTGTCAGTGTGGCAGTAGCCCTAACACTGCTCGCGGTCTCCAGCTATCAGTATAGTGGCAGTAGCCCCAACACTGCTCGCGGTCTCCAGCTATCAGTATAGTGGCAGTAGCCCCTACACTGCTCGCGGTCTCCAGCTATCAGTATAGTGGCAGTAGCCCCAACACTGCTCGCGGTCTCCAGCTATCAGTATAGTGGCAGTAGCCCCAACACTGCTCGCGGTCTCCAGCTATCAGTATAGTGGCACATTTCGCCGCTGCAGCGACACCTGCCGGCGTGGACGGAACTTTTGTTTACATAACATTATGGCTGAGGTAAACAGAGCGTCCCGCGCCTCCGCACACAAAACCTGCTCTTTCTCCTCCTTATTTCGAAACAAAGGACAAATTTGAGTCAAAGTTTCCTTCTATTCAGCAACCATTATATAATGACTAATTTATAAATGCATAAAATCGATTATATTTTTGACGATATGTTTTTTCTTTCAAATAAAATTGATACGCAGTATCAGCTAAACATTAAATGAAAACTCGAGCCGATTCCAGTATGACAACAATAAAAAAATTAAAAATTTCGTATGTGGGTTAATGCGTTGATTTTGTTATTTTAAAGTGTACATGATACTGTGAAAATCATTTAATATAATCATTTTGATTTAAGTTACGATACTTCTGAGCATCTAATTAGTAGCCGCGTGAAACTAAAGATGACTTGACAGCTGGCATTCAGCAGTTCTTCAGCTAAAACATAGCGAAAACTGACCTCCTTTTTACAATTTTTGTACGTCGATTAATATTAAAATATTATACCGCGCTAAGCTTGGAACTATTGCAAACATTCTTTTTCTAGCGTAAATACAACATCTCTTTATCACATCATTTCCAGTCGCGAAGTTATCATTGAAAAATCAATGCAAAAAAAAAAACTCCAGACGTGATTAACTTGTTTTTGAACATATGAACTATGGACTGAGAACACTTAATTAATTAATCAACTTTTATTGTTACTTGCTACTAAGTTTCGCGGAGAGCCAAATTTCTGGCATTGTGATATATAATCTTTGAATTTTAGAAATCTTTTTAAGAACTATTTAAAAATTTAGCGAGAATGGAAAAATATTTAATTAATAAAAACCCTAGGCGCAGGTTACGTGCAACATCTTTTCTAATTTACTTCAAATCTGGCAATAAATTGCGCCGAACATTACGTGTCCTATACGTATGTGCAAGTATAAATTTTTTCAAACATGCTGGTAAATAGAATTAAGCACGGCATGTTGAATCTATTGAAGTCTTTATAATCACTTCAAACTTTGGTGATAAATAGAATAGAGCATGATGCGTTTTATCCATTGATGTCAAAATAATATCTGAAATATATAGCAATAACTAGCATGGAGCATGACACGTTCTATCCAATTTTAAATTTAAAAAATCTTTTTCAAATATGAAGAGAATTAAGCATGGTATAAGTTCCGCCAACGTGAGTCGAAATATTTTACATTGGTAGTTTAATTTCAGTAATAACTTTCCCCTAAGTGACCATTGTATTATACATTTACGAATGACGGTTTCAAGGATGTATTATTTACATATTTTCGTACGTTCTTAACATAACATAACATAGTGATGTCGGCGCTGAAGTGTAGGCCTGATGTGGCCTGTCGCCGATTCTTTTCCTTTTCGTGCCTTGTTCATAGAAGATCTAAAATCGTGTCATTTGACCCGATCTTTTCATGACTGGCGATATTAGTTTGAAAGTAGCTACTAGACTTCCACCGGGTTCGATAAGGAGCTAGGCATTTCAAATCTGAACATATATTTTTCCATAGCTTTATCTAGTCTGTTCTTGAACGCATTCATACTTGCAGCGCCAACAATGTCATCGGGGAGGCTGTTCCACATGTCGGTGATTCAAAGCGAGAAGAAATTTTGTCGCGTGGAGAAATTGCAGCGCAGTTTTTTTAGCTTATAGCCGTGGCCCCTGGTGTTGGTTCTTGTTTCAAATTCTAGTAACCCTTCAGGGACCTTGTATAGACCTTGAGTATACTTGTATACTTCAATGAGGTCCCCACGCAGACGTCGATAACTGAGGCTTGGAAGCTTCATAATCTTCAATCTTTCTTCATAGGACTTGCCCTTCAAGCCTGGAATTATCCTTGTTGCACGTCTTTGAACATTCTCTATTAAATTTCTGTCCTTTTCAAATCTCGGTGACCACACAACGTTTCTAAATTCTAGACTCGGGCGCACGACGGCAACGAACAACTGCTTCATCGTTTATGCATCTAGGAACTCGTATGAGCGTCTGATTAGTCCAAGAAGTTTGTTGGATGTGTTAGCTTGCGTTTCAACATGCTTAGAAAATTTCAGCTCCTTGTCGACATAAACTCCGAGATCGTTTTCCACACTAGACTTTTCAATCATTACTCTCTCGTTGCAACCATGTCTTCTCATACTGTAATCTTGCTGTTCATTGTTTTTCCCGAGGTGAAGTACTTTACACTTGTTAGCATTAAACCGTAGCTGCCACGTATCAGCCCAGTTAACTAAACCGTCCAGATCATCTTGTAATTGCGCTTTATTTGACGCATCCTTCACTGAATTATAAACTTTTGTGTCGTCGGCATACATGGAACACACGCTGGACACTACTTCTGGCAGATCATTTATAAAAGCAATGAACAAAATAGGCCCCAGAACGCTTCATTGTGGCACGCCACTGCGCACTGATCCCCAGTCTGACACGGTTCCGTTAATACTGACACGTTGTCGTCTACCTACTAGAAAATCTCTGATCCATTGGAGTACGTTTCTCTCAATTCCCAAGGACTTCACTTTACGCAACAGCCGCTCATGCGTAACACTGTCAAATGCTTTGGCAAAATCGAGGTACAATGCATCCAAGCTGGCTCCCTTTCGTCCAGCAGGCGAGTCCACTCGTTCAACGTAGATAATAAGTTAGTGGTGCAGGATCTGCCGGCAATAAAACCATGTTGACAATCTGATATGAGATGGTGGTGCAGGATCTGCCGGCAATAAAACCATGTTGACAATCTGATATGAGATGGTGAGCAGTCAAGTGATCGATAATCCTATCCCTCACAACAGATTCCATTAGCTTACAAACATCTATAAGAGAAGAGACAACGAACGCCAAACGAAAATTAATACTTTCAACTATTAAAAATATTTTAATCAAACTTATTGAAACGAATAATTAGGCAGAATTTTATCCATCATAAACTTTTTATTTTCATCGATGAATGAAGTCCTCTGCATTCATTATTTTATTCCGAGGAAGACATTCATTTAGCGCGACTAAGCAAGCAACATTTCAGTTTACTATGTTGTCGTAGCAACGATTCACGCACCGTAATAAACAGCATCGATGTTGTGCAATGTACACTGAGTATCACTTCGTCGATTTATAGCTCACTATATAGATGTGAAGTGACCGATTTTACCCGACGTGACGGATTCAACTCGACGTGACTGATTCAACTCGACATGACAGATTCAACTCGACGTGACTGATTCAACTCGACGTGACAGATTCAACTCGACGTGACCAATTCCACTCGACGTGACTGATTCAACTCGACGTGACCGATTCAACTCGACGTGACCAACAATTCCACTCGACGTGACAGATTCCACTCGACGTGACAGATTCAACTCGACGTGACCAATTCCACTCGACGTGACTGAGTCAACTCGACGTGACCGATTCAACTCGACGTGACCAACAATTCCACTCGACGTGACAGATTCAACTCGACGTGACCAATTCCACTCGACGTGACAGATTCAACTCGACGTGACCGATTTAACTTGACGTGAATGATTCAACTCGACGTGACCGATTCAGCTCGACGTGACTGATTCAACTCGACGTGACCAATTCAACTCGACGTGCTCGATTGAACTCGACTTGACCGATTCTACTCGACGTAACCGATTCAACTGGACGTGACCGATTGAACTCGACTTGACCGATTCAGCTCGAAGTGACTGAGTCAACTCGACTGGAAACTAGCAGACAAATTATCGGCGGCCAATACTACTACTGATTTCTTGTGCGGCACTGAATTCATGAGCTATTTATTAGCATATCAAAATAACTGATTTGACTACGGACGGCCATTACCAATAATTTCAATTTTATTTCCTAGAATCAGAGGAAGATGTGTTATCAACGGACCGAGATTTGCTTTGATCTTTATTAAACAGTGAAACTTTTTTTGTTACTTGGTCAACCATGATCGACCAGTGACTACAGAAACTGTTTGTTCACGATAAGCAAAATGAGTTATCAATTTTTTTTTATAATAGTATATGCTTATGTTTTTAACTAAGAATTTAACTGTGATTGCCACATGATTGCCAATAGGTGGCCGCTGATAAGTCGGCTCTAATTAGAATAGAGAATTCTTAAATGATCGGCACCGAGCCCGAACTGCCCAGCAATACTAAAGAACAAGGAACTCTTTGATGCGAGACTAAACATCAACTCCAGCATCTAATGGCTTCACACTCGCGCTCTTATATAACGGAGTAAACTTTCCGTGCCACCTGTTGCTGTGAATGTTATCTTGCAATTCGGCGCGGGATAAACAGCAAAATATTCAGTAAAACTTTGATATTTTTCATACTTATTTTCGAATCCTCGGCCTTTAATTCGTCCTTGAAACGAATAAAATTACCGTTACATTTATGAACAAAGAATCTATTGTTCGGCTTTCCCTCGTGAAAGGCATAACACAGATTGTGATATTTTGGCAATTATTCACATTTAGGAATGAATAAAGTAGTGAGTTCCAACTTTCTTCTTGCACTCCATATAAATTTCGGCCAATATAGAAGTGAATAATATTCTGTCAATTATAGACGGAACTGCCAGCTATTGGCAATCTATTCTGATAGCCAATTTCGGCTTTCCAATCTTCGTACCTGACGCACAAATTTCTTATGTGACAGCATTTCTGAAATTTGTTATATTATTTGCAGTTAAGCATCTGTGTTTGTTTCATATTAAACTAATGATTGGGATAGAATAATGTTTTTCAATCTTGGTTTCTAATCATACTCCAGTTTTAATATAAAGAGAGCATTGTTCAAAGTGAATGAATGCAATCTGATGTCATAGATTTTGCATTCTTTGCTTCTATCTAATTAATTGGAAATTTACCTCTAAAGCTTCATTATATTTAATTTGAAAATTATTGCCTTATCCGACCATCCGTGTGAACACAAATACCAGTTGAAAAAGTTTTTTTCTTCATTCATTACTTTCCTTGAAATTCCGGAAATGGTTTGATAAATGAATTGAATAGAGGGTTGCAAATATATTCTAACATTTTGGCAACAGGCCATGGGCCTATTTCTTCAGTGCCGAAATTTCCTTTTCTATTATATATGAGAATTTCTGGCAGAACATTTGATGAACTTGTACAACATAAGATAAAAATGCGCTTTGGCAATAATATTAACAATGTTTATCATTTTTACACGGTGGCCTTTATGGTGTTTAGAATTCCTGCAAATGAGCAAGCAACAATTTTGAAGTTTTCACTTATAATTAATTTAACTAAGTATTCTGATTCTCAACGTACATTACTATCAGTATAGGAAAATTTAAGCTTGTGCTGGTTATTAATAAAGTATTTATTTTCAGATTCCGATAAAGGAAAATGCAATGAAAATTCGGGAAGGTCGCGGAGCAAGAGAAAACCTAGGGTCCTCTTTTCGCAGGTAAAATAAAATTATATAGCATGCTATTAAATAAGTCAGTTCATTTGCTCCAATGAAATTAGTGCATGTAGTGTTACATAAATAATATACTATTGCAGATAAAAAATATCAATTATTATCATATTAATTACTAAACATTTTTGATGTGTGATCTCGTAATTGAGGTTCGTAGGACATTTCTGGCTCGAAATATTATTTTTAAATATTCACCACGCTATATCCACTGAATGTCCTCCACACTATATCCACTAAACGTCTACCACACTATATCCACTGAATGTCCTCCACACTATATCCACTAAACGTCTACCACACCATATCCACTGAATGTCCTCTACACTATATCCACTGAATGTCCTCCACACTATATCCACTAAACGTCGACCACACTATATCCACTGAATGTCCACCACACTTTATCCACTAAATGTCCACCACACTATATCCACTAAAAGTCTACCACACTATATCCACTGAATGTTCTCCACACTATATCCACTAAACGTCTACCACACCATATCCACTGAATGTCCTCCACACTATATCCACTAAACGTCTACCACACCATATCCACTGAATGTCCACCGCAGTATATCCACTCTGCGCAATGAAATTTTTAAACGTGAAAAGCAGCATATAAAATTTACTCTAATTCATATGAGTGGCACAATATTGATTATAAGATCAAAGATAAATAAAAGCTATATAGGAGACTACTTATGAATGCGACTTCTCGATCTTTTCTCGTTCAGTGTGTTGGAAATGGCCGCCATTGTTCCTCAAAACTTTATATTAAGTCTTCTGTAACGGTTATTATATAATAAATACTTGAGGACTAATTATTCTGAGAAACGTTTTTAGAAAAAAGCTTACCTAACAAAATGCCATAACCTTGCCTCTCAGGCTCAGGTCTCAGAGCTCGAGCGGCGGTTCAAACAACAGCGCTACTTGTCGGCGCCCGAACGCGAGCAGCTCGCCGGCATCCTGAAACTTTCAAGCACTCAGGTGAGGGGAAGGTTTATTTACCACCTAAGAAAGGTTTAATCACCACCAGGTGAGAGGGAGGCTTGATTACCACCCAGAGGAGCGGGAGGTTTAAATATCCCCCAAGTGAGTGGAAGACTAGATTACCTACCAGATGATGGGAGGCGGGACATCCACCCAGTTCAGTGGGAAACTAAATTACTACCAAGGTAAATGGGAGGTGGAAAAGGTGCCTAGGTGAGAGGGAGGCAAAATCACCACTCAAGTATGTGGGAGACGACACTACCACCCAGGTGAGTGGGAGGTGACTACCACCAAGGTGATTAGGAGACGGTACTTCCACCAAGGTGAGTGGGAGGCTTTTCCACTACCCAGGGTAGACTATAATTTGAGCGAAGTGGGGTGAGGGATGAGGGGTACTGCATCTAGTGTATGGGGAGGAGAGTATACCCCGAGGAATTAATTTTTCACTCCAGTTCAACTAAGGTTCAATTAATAAGGGAATAAATTCATGGGAAGCATATGTTTTCATCTAATCTTATCTAAACATATTAGAACTTTGATAACATATTATGCAAATTTGAAAAATATTATTCAAGATTTATTGGCTACTCCAAGTTTTCACAGATCACTGCAAATCAACATCATAGTAACTTTTAGAGGCTAAGAAAAAATTAAATTATAATTAATGATCTCTATTTTCTCAGTTTAATGATATATTTTAATTCCAGTGCGATTGGAATCCAAAAAATTTGCAAACAAATGCCTGTTACTCCAAAACATTAAAAAATATAGAATTGATGAATCATAATAACCGTCCCATTCTTAGTGTGCACTGTAGAAACTTCAATTGAAGTTCTCATTCTTAGCTATTAAATAGGCATATAGGCTCATAGGTATATAGGTTTCCATTCGCTCTAAAGCTTCGTAGGACAGTTTTAATTCATTTTCATATAAACTGATCGTTAATGAATTCACAAAAAGTTTCATGCTGTAAATTCTATCTCTACATAATTAAACGCCTAATTAAAAAGCCCCACCATCACCGCGCAGGTGACGATTTGGTTCCAGAACCGGCGCTATAAATGCAAGCGCCTGCTCATATAAACTGATCATTTAACGAATTCACACGAAATTTCATGCTGTAAACTCTATCGTACATAATTGAATGCCTAATTAAAAAACCATTCACACGTAAATTGTAACACTAAATAATTGAATGCCTAATTAAAGACCCCCACCATGAACGTGCAGGTCAAGATTTGGTTCCAGAACCGGCGGCATAAATGCAAGCGCCTGCTCATATAAACTGATCATTTAACGAATTCACACGAAATTTCATGCAGTAAATTCTATCCCTACATAATTGAATGCCCAATTAAAGAACCCCATCCACGTGTAAATTGTAACACTAAATAATTGAATGCGCAGGTGAAGATTTGGTTCCAGAACCGGCGGTATAAATGCAAGCGCCTGCGCCAGGACCTGACGCTGGAGCAGAGCGCCGCTGCTGCTGGGGGAGGCGCCGCCGTGGGGCACGTCTCGGTCACGCCTTCGTCGATGGCAGCGGCGGTGGCAGCTGCTGCTGCCGCTGCCACGTCGCCACGACGGGTGGCAGTGCCGGTAAATAGTGCAATTATGGCAATAAAATTGAAGTTATCGAATGTCAATAAATACTTATTGAATAATATGAATAATTGAACTTATTGAATGTCAATAAATACTTACTGAATAATATAAATAATTGAATTTATTGAATGGCAATAAATAAAATTGACTAAATTTGTGTATCTCAAGGATAATGGAATGGTAGTTAGTGATAACTTTCGGAATAAATCCTCAACTTTAGAAGGTTTGGCTCGATGATATCAATATTAAACATAATGCGTTAATTTAATTTTAATAATAGTGCGTTAATTTTTTGCTGTCACACAAAACAAATCAGGTCACAGAAAGTGCCTCCTTTTTATTGAAATAATCAACTAAAACCTGACATAATGTGATATAAAATCTGGATTTTGGCTAAAAAAGTTAAACAGGTCTTGATTCGTGTAGCTATTAATTAATATAACACAAAATAATTTTGAATCTAAGATTAATCACTATTAACGATTTAAAAACTCTGGAAAATGAATAATTTTCAAGAATTTTAACAGCAATTTATGCCCAGGTGTTGGTGCGGGACGGCAAGCCTTGCCCCGCATACTCCTCCAGCTTCCCAAGCTCCTCAACAGCCCCACAGTTCGGTCCCCAGTACTCCTCCCCATCCCTGTACCAATGCCCACCAGCCCCATACTCCCCCCACGGGGCCTCTTCTTCCCCTTTTCCTCCCCATTCCTCCCAGAACAGCCACAATTTACCCTATATGAACCACGGGGTGCCTTTTGGTTCTCAGCCGGCGATTAGGAGTGGCTGGTGATTGAGCAATTTGCTTTACTCATAAATGTCATAAAAATATGGGTAAGAAATACATGTTATGCCCGCATATTACTCGACTTGATCTTGCACAAATATTCAGAATAGAATATAAATTTCCAGAACATTTTTATTACTATGTTACAACGCAAAAGTAAATTGTTATGAATCATTAAACAAGGTGAGGCGTTCATTCATCACGCGGGTATTTAAGCAATTGTAAAATACTTCTCATAGCATTAAAACAACTTCAATATATCACAGAGTGCATGTCACAATGATATTATATATTCTCATTTCCGATGAAAAATTTTTTGAATAAAGATAAAACATGTACCAAATTGCACATCCACACATCTTTAATCCATTGACCTTTTTTCAGCACATAGATCAACCACTATGGCAATCGTTTCCTAGACGTATTATCATATTTTATGTGCTCCAATATTACAAATTCAATACGACAAATATCAATATTGTTTCGCTATAAACATACACTAATTAATAACACAGTTGTTGCAACTGGGTTTTGGTCTGCAATTAGAATCATACTAAGTGCCTTACGAATGCCAGATGTAAATATATAGAATTTATTATTCCAAGTATTTCAGAAAGAATCTTAATATAGATTATAGTGTTTTCCGATATAAATTATCGATATTCATTCGATCACATCGTTTGTTACGAATTTTGAATAACTTTGAAAGTAATAAACGATAAATTCTATGTGTTTCTTGCTAACGTATCCTCTTAGTGGAATTTAAAACTGAAAATGCCATTTTAAAATATCCTCGAATGCCTACTGAATAAATTTCAGTGCGATGTGGCTAGAGAAACCAAATTGAAAAATGGAATTCCATCTAAAAACAGCGAAAATTTTTAAACTCATAGTAAAGTTAGAAAAAATTGAGAAAATATGTTGAAAAAGTGTCTGACGATTCAATTATTTATAGAGTAAAACCGTCGTTCGTTTCGTAGTAAGGCAGTCACTTTATTATTCAGATTATCTAATTCAGACAATGCTGATGATACTCTAAAAATCTACAAAATTGCTATTTTGAATTGCTCAGTTTGAGGCTATGAAATTGAGGCAAAAAATATGCGATAAAACATTTTTCTACAATAATTACAAAAGTAGTGGTTCGCTACCTTTTAGCGAAAATTAATGTAAGTGGAAAACTAGAAATATCGTCGCTTAGAAAAAAAAAATTCTTTACTAGTCAATAAAGATAAAATCTCGCTGTCTTTCATTGACAGAATTTTTTTTTTCAGGATTAAATTTGTGCCAATACGAGTGAACTTTACTCGACCGTTAGTCAGCGTCACAAAATAAAACAACTTGAATGAGAAATGTTCTCATTTCTGAATCTTTGTTTAGGGAAAGACAGTTTGTTTCATCACTGAAATAATTCACAAGAATTGTCAAACAAAGCTGCGCGACTATCAGGCGTTATCAGCAGCAGCGTCTGGGCAGCAACAAAGACGCATCTGTGCTACGCCAGCCTCCATGCGACGTAAGCCACCGACTTGACACAAAGACGTAGCATTATGACACAGAGACGTAGCATTATGACACAAACACGTAGCGTTATGACACAAAGACGTAGCATTACGACACAAAGACACAGCATTATGACACAAAAAACGTAGCAACATGACACAAAGACGTAGCGTTATGACACAAAGACGTATTATTAGGACAAAAAGACGTAGCGTTATGACACAAAGACGCAGCATTACGACACAAAGACGTAGCATTATGACACAAAGACGTAGCATTATGACACAAAGACGCAGCATTATGACACAAAGACGTAGCATTATGACACAGAGACGTAACGTTATGAGACAAAGTCGTAGCATTATGACACAAAGCCGTAGCATTATGTCACAAAGACGTAGCGTTATGACACAAAGACGTAGCGTTATGATACAACAACGTAACATTATGACACAAAGACGTATCGTAATGACACAATGACGCAGCATCATGACACAACGACGTAGCATTATGACACATAGACGTAGCGTTATGATACAACAACGTAGCATTATGACGCAAAGACGTAGCGTTATGACGCAAAGATGTAGCGTTATAACACAAAGACGTATCGTAATGACACAAAGACGTAGCATCATGACACAACGACGTAGCATTATGACACAAAGACGTAGCGTTATGATACAACAACGTAACATTATGACACAAAGACGTAGCGTTATAACACAACGATAGCATTATGACACAAAGACGTAGCATTATGACACAAAGACGCAGCGTTATGGCGCAAAGACGTAGTGTCATGACACAAAGACATATCGTAATGACACAAACACGTAACATTATGACACAAAGACGTCGTCAGGACTCCACGCAAAAAAATAAGACGTAATTAGAAGACGTATATTTTTATTCCCAAAGTTCACGATGTCAATGGATTTTATTCCTGTCAAAAATTTAGTTTAAAAGGAGCTGTTGCTAACAAAATAATAGGCATAGAACAATCTCAATGCCAAACTAAAGAATATAAACGGAGTCGCAATCAAATAATAACTTAAATTTCAGTGAATCAACGAGGAAAATTTTTAATTTTTATCCGATTTATTGCTTTAAATCTATAATCACATCAATGATCTAGTTAACACGTGAGAAAAAAAACATTATAATGCTGGACCAGCAATTTCCTAGAACTTTATCGAGGGAATCAAATGTCTATTAATATCGATGTTAGAGACAAATAAGACATCATTTCGTATTGAAAATAAATTGATTTCAGTGACCCGTCGTACCAACAGTGATGTGCTCAGGTATAACGTTACGTGATAAACGTAAATCTGAACGAAAACAAGTAATGGTCTCTGCATGGGGCGGGGTTTACGGTCAGAATATATAAGTCTAATGGTGACTATGCAAACAAGCTAGGCAAACTCTGCCGTGTAGATGGATCCTGTGGGGGGACTCGTGCATATGGCAGTTCTATGGACCAGTAAATTTGGTACTGGCTTGGAACTTTCTCGTATTAAATCTCATCAAAATACCACTGTCGTATTTTGTTTTTGTTTATTTTGTTTGTTCTACTTAATGAAGGATATTATTACAAAAAATTGTATAAAACAATCTGTACATGCATTATGTGCAATTTTTGTAATTACATTTGTATATTTTCATGTAGAACCAGTAGCTACGCGTTACTATTGTTTACTATAGCATGACGTAAGTCAGATTACGTCAGTCCTTACCTCGGCGTCTTCCTCCTCGGTTATGTCAATAAACTTACGAACCATTCAACCTTTAATTCCAACCCTACGGAATTAACACATTATATGTTTGTAATGGGAGAAGGGAACTGTAATAAGTCATTGAAAACGAGGGTTTTGTATGAAAGATTTATACCATATATTTCCATACCACCAAGAATACCATTTTGAGATATCCCCAACATATACAGGCATTGAATATCGCTGCGTTAGTTCGTCTGGCACCACAATTCATTCTATTTATGTTAACCGAATCAAGATAGCTCATCGGTTGCGGGATGTTCGCCGAAAACAAATACTCTTTATCTGATTATCGATACTGAGAAACAATTATGTAATTATTGTATATTATTATTACATAATAATTATCTCTATTATTATTTGATAGTTATTATATAATATAATTATTAACAACTATACACTGATTGCAATCCAACTAATGATGAAGCCCGATAATATGACCCTTGAAAGGATAAGTCATTGAGGGAAGGTTCAGGGCCTCTGCACTGTCGCTGAGTTGCTTGCTGGTTTAAAATGCAAATTACTTTTGTTAAATTCTGCTTTTGACTAAAATCAAAGCGCTGGAATGGCTTTTAGTCAGTTATTTTTCATTTTCATTTTAGTAATTATTTGTTCACAACGTACATGAACTATCTATATATATATAAATTCTTCGTACCTAGTTGTTCTTAATTATACATCTTGCGTTATTCCAACTTTTGCGAATGGCCGTAGAATCACCCGATGACGTTAGATAGCATATCATATTTTCAAACATGGCCTCTTACCTTCTATTAATGCCAGGTAAAATATTAGAGTACAAACGTGAAATCCTACTTTCCCTCTGACCTCCACCATTATTCGAGTACACATTCCCCTTTGCTCTTAATTCATTCGGTATTTCGTATACATGATCCGAAGAAAATTCATCGTAGATGGAATTCTCTTCTCCGAATCGTGGATTTTTTCCTCTCGATGGCCGACGTTTCTCCATTTCGAGCCCAGGCGTATCCCCCATTTCAAATTTTCTAAGTTTTTTCTTTAAACAACAAATGCTCACGAGTAGGAACAAGATTATGAGGAGCATGGCAGCCAGAACTATCCATTCTATTGTCAGTTGCCAACTGGTAAGTAGTTTCGCGACGTAGTGGTTGTTGGTCCATAGTTCAACCGACTCGCATTTGAACGGGTCGTCTCTGCATGGTAGTTGGTACGGGTGACAGTTGGTGACGAGGCACGTTCTTGGTACGTGAACGGTCAGGTGTTTTTTGACGTCGAAGTATGAGTGCACGTGTCCAGCTGTCCAGAGCACCGAGTATGAACTTCTTGTTCCCAGCACCGTCTAAAAATTCAATTTTGTAATCAATCCAATAGTAAGAATTTAACGTTCGAGTGTGGTTTGGAATTTGTTCTCGTAATCGAAAACATAAATTTACAGGTACGTAGTTAAAGTAAAAGATGAGTGGCTCGTAGCTTAGATTAAAGATTTGAGCTCTTATTTTGCTAGTATGTCTTTGATATTTAAAAATTTTGATTTTGAATTGTAGTCAAAAAGTTCTTATAATGTCTAATGTTTCAAACTTATGGATTAAAAGTATTGAACTCTCACCCAATTAATGCTTCGGTGTTCTTGATCGACTACAACTTCAGTCCATTTCCCGGCCGCCTGCACCGGAGAGTCTTCATCCTGGAGCGTGAAAAGGTAGTTGTAGGAGCTGGGGAAGGCCTTGAAGAAGATCAGCTCCTCCGGACTGCCGCACCACGCGAAGAATTGGTCTCCATAAGTCGATTGGTATTCATCACCAGATCGGAGGTGGCACCCTGGAATAAAAGATCCAGTTAAATAAAAACCCAATTATCCATGTTGGTCATGGTAGATACATTTATGGCTAATTTCTGAGAGTGAACTCCTTGTTCGTAATATAAAGTTGACAGACTATTTAAAGAAAATATTTTTCAAGATGAACATCTTGATTAGTTATTTGATTATAGAGGATTCGGCTGAATATTTTTAAAAACTAGTTTTTAATATAAGTCGAACCAGTTTTTCGGCTAAATATTTTTAAAAACTAGTTTTTTAAATAATTTATACCAGTTTTTTTGTAAATTCAGTCATTTTGGCCATGTTCATACAGGTTGCAAATATTCTTATGATTAATTGAAATATTATATCTTTTTGGTTCTTGAATCGATTTTGAGGCTTGTAAGGATATTTGCTTCCGACAGAATTTCAAGCTTCCTCATATTAATTTTTCCAGGCACGTGCGAAATTTATCCAACACTTGTGCACTAGTCTAATCATCTGCATAGCGAAAAATTTATTTTCGCGCACTGAAACCTTTGAATCGCCTATTTTTCTATGAAATGATTGCATTATTGATCAGTGTGATCATTTTTTAATATTAATATTTCAATGATCAAAAATTAAAAATTAATTCTGATCGTGACGCTGTTTTTCCCCACCTGAATAACAATCAAAGTTGACGTGAAACGATTTCCGGTTGGGGAGCCATTGCGCCTGGAGTTTCCCCGTTAATCCCGTGTTTCTCAGAGTAATGATTTCCACGTCCTGTGCGCCTATTGAGGTGAGAAGAACATCCTTATTTTCAGTGAAGAACAAGTCGAAGTGCCGCCACCCGTATAAATTAACTAACTTGGTTTCTTGTACGATCGTATCTTCTTTCTGTTCCCAAGCACTGCACCGATAGGCGATCACGCCCTTGTCGTTCTTGTCGTTCTTAGCAGTGACATTGAAGACTGCGGAGCAGCTATGTCCCGTGGACGGTGACTTAATTAAAAGTTCAACCTTCCAGCTTTCATTTACGTAGGGGACATCAAGTCCAAGTCGTACTTGAGTCTCGAAACTTTTAGTGGCAGTTTTGCGGGGTATGTCGCTGATCTCGTACTGAACGCAGTCTGGTAGGGAGAGAAAGAAGTTTTCAACTGACAATCCAAGATAAAGCATCCGCCAACGTATATAAAAACCTATTCAATTCTATATACGATATTCAATTATTTTTTGCTGCATAGTTCTTGCACCTTTTTTTCACTGATTTGTTTCGCTAGCAACAATTACCTTTATTATTTTATGCACTAAATTAATTTTATTAAGATCCTCAAAAGCCTTACCGGCGGGCTGGTCTTCGCTTTGGGCCTCAGCAGTGAGCTGGAGCACCAACGCGACAATGATGAGTCGGACCATCATTTTGCTGAATACTTGTTATAATACATAAATGATCATGATAACATAATTACAACACAGATTAAATGTTTATTAACCACAATAGTGATGCATATACGGGAGAAATTTAATAAAAATAACTAGACAAATATTAAATGTTTCAAAAATAAATCTCCTGAAGAAAAATGACGTTCTCTTGAAACTTGAGAGCCAAAATCTACAATTAAACGATATTATTTATTAAAAAACAAATCCACTCAATAATCTTGACGAGGAATGAGATGGGAATTGTAAATAAATTCATTAATAATTATAGATATTTAGAAGTTCTTAGGTTTTAAAGTGCCATTAGGTTGAGCAATTTTCTATGGCAATTCGTATTTTATCTATTAACTTCTTTAACAGTCTCAAGTATATACACTTCACATGACAGCTCAATGCAGTTTTCCCAATTATAAGCTCGAGAACGCAGCTATTTGGCTTCACGATCAATATAAAGCAAATATTGGTCAATTTTAGAAAAACATAAAATTACAACGGGGTACAATTTCATTACTACAAGACATGTAAATCGCCGAAGACATGGAAAATGCATTGATGAAATCAATAAAAATTTTGAGATTTCATTGATAGTGAGACAAAATATTCATTTTTCAAATCCATACGAAACATTTTTCCTATCACATTTCAAGCCATGCGGTCTCGTGAATTATTTTTTTCATCTGTTAAAACAGTAACTGCATCTTTTTTTATTGAAATTATTCGAATTTTATAGCACGATGTCCATTGTGTCCAATATCAGCATTGAATATTAAAAACCTACATCACCAGGTGAGTAGAGTGCTCCCTCTATCAAAGTCTGTCACCAAGTAATATTCTCTGGCATTGCTGGCGATTATTGAAGTTAATCGAATTTTATAGCACGATGTCCATTGAGTCCAAAACCAGCTTTGAGTATTAAAAACCTACATCACCAGGTGAGTCGAGTGCTCCTTCTATCAAAGTCTGTCACCAAGTAATATTCTCTGGCAATGCTGGCGACTATTGAAGTTAATCGAATTTTTTAGCACGATGTCCATTGTGTCCAATATCAGCTTTGAGTATGAAAAACCTACATCACCAGCTGAGTAGGGTGCTCCTTCTATCAATGTTTGTCACCGAGTAATATTATCTGGCAATCCTGGCGACTATACGTCACCGGATACTAGGAGAGGCCTGCAGATGGTTGCCCTCTATGCAAGTATTGCAAGCGCTGTCGAGCATCCGCGGCTTATGATAAAACTAATGACCGGAAATCCGAAAATTTCTTTGTGTTCACAAGAACCACAGAATAACATGCATAGTAAAAATCGAGCAAGATTTTTGGATAAAAAAATATATTGTCTTATTTTTTGCTTGTAATAATGAACCTACGATCTAAAATGATCGATTCACGACCCGTTAACTGTACGTCTTAGTGCGATCAAAAAATGCACTTTTTACAAAATGCATAATTTGTCTAACTTATAACCGATCAATCAATAACAGAATAATAATATTAATAATAATAATAAAAACAACCCCATTTAATCAAAACCTATTGTCAATGTTGCGAGAATAGTATTTGTTTATTCAAATTAAGAGTTTTTGAATGAATTCAAGAGAATGTAAATAGAAAATTTGAATTTATCGTATCAGCAGTAGGCATTTAACGATTATGATGATAGAAGCGCCAGGAATACCTCGTAGACATCTGCAATTAGAAGTTTATTCATCATTATCTTCTATTCCCTGCTTAAAGAGATATGCATTTGGTTACAATACAGTACTTCATTAACATGCATCAAATATTTTATGCGAGTCAGAATTCTCATCATTATTCGAAAGAAACATCAGAGGATGACAGATTAAAATTCAAAGTCGTGAAAACGAGAAACAATTTTATTCGTATAAATTCTACCAATATAATTCGCGCAAGATGAGTTAAAAAACGTAAGTGATTCAAGTATGTTACTTCGAAATTCCAGAAGAAAAATGAACAATGACGTTTTTATGAGGTCGACTAAATAAGACGACCTCCTTTTATGATGTCGTCTAGAGGTGGTTGAAGTGCCTTGAATTATTACGTGGTGATGAATGCATTTACACTTAATTCAAAACAATATTAATGTTAAAATATCAGCGACAGACGTGGTTAAATATTCAATGAAAGTAACTAAGGAAATTACTGGGTTTTCAGGAGAAAGGGAATTTTTCCATCGGAGTTCTATAGGTCCTTGTTTTCGTCGCAACACACGAGTGTGGCGAAGTCTGGCCACTGCGCAGCTAAAAAGTGAATCAATTGTGAATAAGAAGTGAAATAATTAATACTTGAAAGTTATTACCGGAAAACCCAATTCAAAAATGGTTAAAGATTCGGAATTGTTTCAGCCCTAGCGCAGTTCGGAAGGAAATTATTTTTTCGAGTTGGATAATGTTCGGTTTATAATCATATAAATTATTGCCGGAATACCCAATTAAGAAATGGCAAAATTGACAGTCTTGAAAATCACAACACTAGATTTGATGTTGAATCGTGGAATTCATTAATGGAAAACTATTCTGAAACGGCAGAACTGACAACGACGAAACACAGCCACTGCGCAATTGGGAAATAATATAATATCACGAGTTTGGTGATAACCCGGTTATATTAAATCATAATATGATATTAAATTATTACCCGAGAAATCCAAACTGGCTTGAACCCGCCACTGCGTAGTTAAGATGTGAATCAATTCCTTAGGTTTCGTGAAATTCGGTATTGAATCAAGAAAGTTAGTACCATAAAACTCAATTCTGAAACGGCTGAACCCATGAAATTATGACAACGATATCATAGTTTGGAAATAGACGAATTTCACAGTTCAAGTGAGCTTAGGTATCGAAAATTCAAATTAATAAATGAAAAAAACTGACAGATATGAAATTTTTGAAGCCACAGTGCAGTTGGTGAGTGTAATAATTCAACCCGCTGGAGATATTTCATGTTGAATAGCGAATGTTATCACTGGAAAAGCCCATTCTAAACGGACAAACTGACAGGGCTGAAACTTTGACAGCCACTGCGCAATTAATGAGTAAATATAATTCTCTAGTTGGGTGATATTCGATCTTAAATTGCGAAATTAAAACCGGCCAAACTAATGTCAATGATTTTCTTAGTCACTGCGCGGTTAGGTTACGAATAAATTCCTTAAATTATGTTTGAAAAAAAAAATTAAAATCTAGTCATTAGCCTAGAACGGGAAGACCTGAATTTCTAGAGTTAGATGATCGACTATGACGACTGTGGTTTTGACAACTATGGCAGAATTCAATTCCTAAATGGCTAAATTGACAACTAAGAAATTTTAGCAGCTCTATATAGCGTGGTTTGGAAAGAAATGGGATTTTCGATTTATTTGAGCTGAGGTGTTAAATCATTTAAATTATCACCGGGAAGCAGATTTTTTATATGACACATTCGACAGTCATAAAATTCATGCTGCCACTGCGCAGTTGGACTATAAAAAGTTCATCGAGATAGGAGATGTTCGATGTTAAATTATGATAGGTTTTTAATAAATAAATAATAAAAAACGCAATTCTGGAACGGCTAAACCTGGCATCGGTGAAACTGCAAAGTTTATATGTTAATGAATTTCTCGAATTCTAGTGAGTTCAGCACAAATAAGGAAATGCGATGGATGAGTAAAACCAGGAGATATTTTGTTTAAATATTTATTATACATTTACGAATAATAACAAGCCTTAGTTTTAAAAATAGACCGTTATTTCGTACAAATAAATTACTTCGAATAATGACCTGAAAATATTTATTATATGTACAACTAATTACAACGTACGTGCACCAAAATGCAAAGTCATCCGGAAACTGCATGCCAATATAAATATTTTAAATTTATTTGAAATACATCATTCAGAGATTTTCTCGCATTGCATTTACACAGAATATAAAATAAATGTGATCGATTTTCATACGTGTATTATTTTTTTTTTGGTCTCCGGTTTTTTTTTGCGAGTGTCTCCGAAGCAAGAAAAATTTCCGAGTCCTCTTCACAAAAGACATCAAGTGCAGATAACTGCTCAATGCAATAAATATTTATCGCTTTGTCTATTGGTAATTTGATTGCAATTAAATTGCATGTCGTATTTTATATGTTGATTTTCAATTTCTCTATGTAACATAAAGAGTCAATTTTTTTTCTTTGAATCACATCAATAATTTGATAATCATATTGAGCATGCAAGACTTCTAATATAGCACACTGTGTCCTGGAAGAAGAACGCAATATTTGATTTGATTCGCACCTCCGTCGAATACATCGTCAAGGAAAATGCGGAAAAATGTATATAATTTGCCTGATTTAATATTTTCATTCATTTATTTGTTTGTGTAGCCTGGTGACATGATATAGTCCAGCTCGTTACTAGATAAAAATAAAAATTTTAACTTGGAAAGAAAAAGTTAAAAATTTAATAAATTTGAATTGCTAAAAACCCAAATTTTAGACGGAAAACAGTTAAATTTAAAATAAATCAATTTCTAATCTAATCGCTTATTTCCATAAATTTTAAAAAATTTCATCTAAGGTTGAAGAATTATCAATATTGAACAACAGTTCAGATAAAACGTTCCACACGATTTCGGGAAGTTAAATAATTGCCATTTGAGTAAGAAGATATTGAAAAAATTAATCCAGCCGGACTGAATAGTTTACAGTTACCTGATACTTTGTTTCAGAGATGCATTTTATCCTCTTCAAATTTACTTTGAATACATCGGAATATCTTAGAATCCGTATGATAAATGATCACAATTTGTTAAAAAATCGTGTTTTCGAGTGGATTTGTGTTTACCATATTTCGTTCATCAGCAAAAAAAATTTCAATAAGCGGATCATGGATTTCTTCACTTATTCGCATAGATCATTCAAATCCATCCACTGTGTTAATAACCCTTTACAATTTCACGATCTTTGCAAGATTCTCTATCGATAGTTCTTCAAAATTATAAACCTTGTGCGAGTGAGATCCGTTATATTTCGGATGTGCTTTCCACAGCTTCGCGACTAGACGGCACTCTTGCTGATGCTTTCGTATTTTCTTTGATGGCTTTCTCTATTAGAAGTGCTTTGTTGACCGGAGGACCTGAAAAATATTATTTTAAAGTAATTATAATTACAAAGGTTCAACTCTATGACAAATCACCTGGATAACAAATCTTGGAGCAGATTTTAAGACTCTAATAAAAGAAAAAACAATCCCGAAATGACTTCTTCAGGAGAAATCAAACTTAGTTCACCTTTCAACAAGGAAAAATGTCTTGCATCAACTACTTGATGATAAACCCGTAAAAATTATTACTATTTACAACAAAATTTGAATTGAAAACTGCAACATATTGTGTATAAGGAAAAATGTCTTGCATCAACTACTTGATGATAAACCCGCAAGTTATTACAATTTACAGCAAAATTTGAATTGAAAAAACTGCAACATATGAAATCTTTCAAGTAAAATCGACATGCTACACTCACCTATAATTGAGAGAACAACTGGTAAGAAAAGCAGCCCATGCAGGCAGCCGAAGATCACCATGCCTAAGTACATCCTGAAGTAAAATATTTTGAATATTTGTGATTTGGCGAAAGCCAGCACGGAGATTCCGACGATTTTCGTCATCGTGATGCCAGAAAATACCTGCAAAAATATACGGTTTCAACGTTTGTTGTATAGGTTAAGTGTATATTTATTTATCGGGAAAAGATAAGCTCCATTGGGACTATAGATTTGCATCAATATGTCTGCCCATATGAAATGGTAATTATAGATTCAAATGATATTCACGGACAGTATAAAATTCTTCTACAATTTTGTCTGAATCATTTGTAAGCAAATCAAGGAGAAATCTTACCTTTCACATTATTTAAAAAGTATCCTTGGTTTTAAGTATTTAATTTTGCCCACAGTAATGGCCTAATAGTATTGAAGAGTGAACGTGGCATTTGAATTTCTTTGCTATTCCTACTATTTATTACATAATTATGCAGATCAATGCCATTTTAAGTGAACATTCAACCGATTCAGTTTTATTTGATTTTTCGCACCCAGGTTGTCAGAAGTAGCTTATTTCCTACTCACCGCGGAGCCCATGGATGCCAGAGCGTCAATTACTCTTTGGTCGCGAGTTTCGTGAGTTGAAAAGGCGAAGGCGTGGCTGATGTGGTTGCAAAACTCCACCGAGATGCCAATGGCCTGATGACATCGACGCAAAAAATGTAAGCAGTTGTTGAAAAATACTCTTAGTTTCTCTTTCTCACCATAATATAAGCATCAACACTATATCCACAAGAAAATCAACACCAAAATCACAACTCCTACCTTGCCAATTCCTACCATGACAATTCCTACCATGACAATTCCTACCATGACAATTCCTACCATGACAATTCCTACCATGACAATTCCTACCATGACAATTCCCACCACGACAATTCCTACCATGGCAATTCCCACCATGATAATTCCCACCATGACAATTCCTACCATGACAATTTCTAGCATGACTATTCCTACCATAACAATTCCTACCACGACAATTCCTGCCATGAAAATTCTAACCATGACAATTCCCACCATGACAATTCCCACCATGACAATTCCTACCATGGCAATCACAATTCGTACCATGACAAGGTTGACGAGCGTGACTGCGTTCAACTGGATATGCCACCACGTCATCATGCCCATCATGTTGACAACGATCATGATGATTGTTCCGAGTACCAATAGTGACGTCCACACGTCAAGTCCCGTTAAAATAACCATGACCACGAACACCCCCAGCAGCGATATGGCGAGGCTCTTAGCAGCATCGGTCGTCATCGTCAGGTATTGTTCGTAGTACACGTAGAAAATACTGCCAAATAAAAGTATATACACGTTAGTCATGTCTAAACTTCAAGTACTAATAATAATATGGATGAAGAATACTGCTTAAATAAAGTAGATTCATGTTGGTTACGTGTCGTAACTTCAGGTAATACTAATAAAATTAGTAGGGTAACATGGGGCAGCGAGCCCACTGCGGGTCACGGGCCCATAGCGGGTTTCTCGCTAAGTATGGCAGATATTGGTCCGTGTTCTCTACCGCCGGTCGACAGTTTCACTGGGATGAATTGCACGGATTTACGTTTTGCTAAGTGTTTGCGTTATTAAGTTCTTTGCGAATAACTGTTTTAGTCCAGATAAAAATTTTTTTGCCGCTAAATAAAGTTTTTTTCCATTACTATAGATGAAAATTTTGTAATTACTTTGAATTATTTTTTCAAAGTAATATTTATAGGGATAATTTTGAGACCAAGTTTAGACTATTAGCTTTTAAAATGAAATGTTGACACGATATAAATTGAAATGATACCTAGTGGGGGCAACGGGCCCACTCGTGTCACGGGGCAAAGCGCCCATGGTGAAGTCTTGTGTTATACATCATTAGATTTGTCTCAATGACCTTTTCAAACTATGACTAGCTTTTTGAATTACAAATTACACTTCATATTGCATGATTTTTTGATTTGCCACCTCAAGGCATCAGGTTTAGTTTCTAGTTATGCGTATTTATAACCACTTTTCGAGTTATTGACTCTTGCCTTGCCAAAAGTTGATTTCAGTCAACACCAATGAGCCAAAAGTTGATGAGAGTTTTTATGGTGTTGGCTGAAATCACGATTAGGTACGAATTCTCTGCACATAATATCTGGATTATGGACGAAACTGGAACGAAGTTTTTTTCTGATCAACTAAATATATTTTTTCTAGTCAAGGATACATTTTTTCATGTCAAGGACGAATTTTTTATCGCAAAGATATCTTTTTCAAGTCAAGGATATATAATGTTATGTCAATGAAATATTTTTCTTCACGTCAGTGATAGATTTTTTAAGCCAAGAGTATATTTTTTTCAAGTTATGGATATGATTTTTGAGTTGTTAATAAATGAATGAATGTCATATTTTTTATTACATTTTTCTTATTTTTAACTGTAAAGTGTTGTTTTATCATTTTTAAACAAAAAATATGCAATTGTGGTAAAGGGACCAAGGGTGGGCGCCTTGCCCCAAGCCCATGGGCCCATTGCCCCAGGGGTGGGGCAATGGGCCCATTTTGACACTTTTTACAAAATAGTGTTTCATTAAAAATTGAATAACTCTATAGGCGTCTAATTCACATCATACATTCCTCATTAGTTGTACCTTTAAACAAAACAAAGAACCACCTCGTATCAATTAAAACTTCATCAAAAATTTAGTTTAAAAAAAGTGGGGGGCGCGCTGCCCCACGTTACTCTATTAATATTAGTATTATTTGATAGACAATACTGCCAAATAAGATTATATTCACGTTAGTCATGTCTAAACTTCATGTACTAATAATAATGTGGATAAAGATTACAGGTCAAATAAAGTAGATACATGTCAGTCACGTGTCTGAACACCAGCTAATACTAATAATATAGATAGAAAATACTGCCCAAATAGGAGTAAATACATCTACAGGTTAGTCACGTGCTTCATCTCTGCTAAACTTATAATATAGCTAGAAAAATCCACAATTATAATATAGCTAGAAAGTGTCCACAAAATAAATAATTCACATGATTGGCGTGTTTCATTGCCTAGTCTTAAATATAATACAAAATACTGGACAAAACATGAACAGGTACGCGTGTATGACCTGTTTCGTCGCGAGGTTATCCTATGCTAAACTGGACTTCATTTTAATGAGTTTAACCTAAACCATATTAATATATTATCAAAGTTTTAACAGACGTTGAATAAATAATGTTAAAATTCAATAAATTATAAGCTTTGTAATGTATTCTGACCTGTAGGGGAAGACTTTAGCCGTTGTGAAGGTATTATTATGAAGATATTCGGTGAGCTGGTCAGTAAGCTGGTACGCTTGATCCAGGGCCTCGGTGAAGTCTTTCGATTTCCTGAGACGTTCGTTATATTTTGATCAGTTCTAATATCTATGAAATGATCTATTTTAGATTAGGCTTTCTCCGCATATGTAATCTTTATCAATCAAAATATTTTTTAGCCTACAAATTTTATGATAAATTGAATAATTTGAATAAAATTGGTCTTCACCCGCAAATATTTTACAAAAAAATTGTGCCAATGTGAGCAGATAAGAACAATGCAAAAATGACAAGGATATTACTGAGGGCTAAACGAATTGAATATTTTGTATACAAAGAATGTCAGAAAAATAAGAAGTGACTGAAAAATTATAGATTGTATGACATTTCATCTATCAAACAATCAAAACTATTGCAATAATAATAAAAGAATGATGGCAAATGACTTAGAAATCCTGCTAATTTTAACTTAGGAACCCTACCAATAATATAAAATTAATATATAATGCTAGAAATAAAATTTTACAAATATATATTTATTATAAATATAATATTTAACATATAATAAAAATTAATTATCAATCTATGATAAATTATATGATGTCCCACAACAAAGAATAAGGGCATCCACTGAATTACTCTTATTGCATGGCAGTTTTTAACGCACTTTAGGATGGTGTGATAGGTCATAAAGTAGCTCGCCCCAACGTTCTCCCCTCGAGCGTCGTTCACCACTCGCACGGCCTCCCCGTAGGCAGGGTGCCCCGCCTGAGGACACTCTGTGTCGTGGGGATTGTCCTTCAGGAAGTCAGGCAAGTGAGGCATGAAAAAGTCTGGCAGGGGGCGTAGTGGGTCTGGGTTCACGGTCGAGGTGTTCATGCAGATCGCTTTGGCGTTTTTGTCGTATTTCTCTGCAGTGAATGAGCAAAAAATAGGGATCAGTTATTGTTTTGGATTTGTGCATGAGCGAAATAAATTTTCACATGGAATCAGATTCATATGAGATCATATTTTAAGCATGAAATTAACTAGTGATGAAAAAGTGGGTGGAAGTAAAGTAAATAGAGTTCAGAGGAAATTTCTTTGAGATCAATGAAAAGTTCATTTACTGGCATCTGACTACGTTGATTACTTATGAATTTAAAAAATGCATTAATCTAGGAATAAGATCAACCCATACTTCTGATTTTAAATATAAATTATGCTACGCAATTAGAATCTAATTCAAAATCTAAATAATCTCACCGCTGCTATCGATAAAGTTTCCTTCCGCGTCGAGGCGGCAACAAGCAGTTCCATAGTAAGGACTTGCAATGGTGCCGCTGCCGGCATCAGTGATCCAGCTGATGTAAGCTTCTAGCCAAGAGTTGGCGCCAGCTGCAATTGTTGTTCTGCAACACATGTTTACAGCGTCAACGCCTCGTAATATCAGCACAAACACATCACATACAATGCAATTTTTAACTAAATATATACGTTCATTGTTGATTTACATTATCATTTGAAGTAACCTATGAAAATGCAATCAATAAATTCATGCAATCTTTATGATGAATCTCGCTTGATGCAGGCGTGAGTCCAGCGAGCGCATACGTGTTAAAATATATTCACTTCAGAATGCGTAAGATAAATAACACTCATTTAAATACATCCATCAACTTGCTGGCAGTATAAATAGTAGTCATGATTTAAACTCACACGTTAGGCTTGAGGGACGCAACGAATATTTTGGTTAAGAAAGAGTCGAATCTGCAGCCGGCGCTCGAACAAATAAGATTCTGATTCTCTATGTCAGTGTAGTCGTATCCTTCCGTCACCACGAAATAAATGGGAGGTCCGACACTCATATAGAGATTGAGATACTGGAAGACCGTGCATAAAATTACATCGAATATATAAGTATAGAATATATTATATAAATATGAGGAGGAATGGGAAGGAATTTAGCAAAATAGGAAAATTCACATTATTATTGTTTAAATAAAAAATTACAATGACGTATTCTCTGAAGTACACTTCAAGAATAGTCTCATCGTATAGAGAAAAAATTTATTTTCATTTGGATTTGAATTATTTTGGATTATTTTAATATTCCATTATTTTATTTTCGGTTAACGATGAGTTGCTAACGTCGACGAATTCAAGAATGGAAGAGTTAGCCTAGTGTAAAAAGCGGCAATCATTGCACAATAAATTAATAATTGGTGCTCACGTCAAAGTGACAGAGGAATGCTCGGGTAAATAAATAACACCAATCATCGAACCATAATTAAATAATTGGTGCTCGCGTCGAAGTATTTAAGAACGAAGGAGTGCTCGGGCAAATAAATAACAACAATCACCGAACCATAAATAAATAATTCGGTGACGAAGAAGTGTTCGGGATATTAAATAACATCAAACAACGAACCATAATTAAATAATTCGGTGCTCACGTCTAAGTATTTAAGAACGAAGGAGTCCTCGGGCAAATAAATAAATAACTAAAATATAATTAAAATACCTAAATAATTCAGTGCTCACGTCAAAGTATTTAAGGACGAAGGAGTCCTCCGGCAAATAAATGAATAACTAAAATATAATTAAAATACGTAGATAATTCGGTGCTCACGTCAAAGTATCTAAGGACGATGGAGTCCTGGGGCAAATAAATAAATAACTAAAATATAATTAAAATACCTAAATAATTCAGTGCTCACGTCAAAGTATTTAAGGACGAAGGAGTCCTCTGGCATGGAGATGTCTTGCTCGAGACCGACGTCGATGTGAGGCACGAAGCAGGCGTTCGTTGCGAACAAAGCGGAGAACGCTACCAGAACTATCACCTTCACTGGCGGCTGCACCGAAGTTATTATTCAGAAATATTATTATCTGTGTTATAATAAACCAATAAACATATTTGTGTCATTATTTGAGCAATTCCTTGACATGTATTATTATTGAGCCATGATATTTGAGTGTCATTATTGAACAAATATTGTTATCCCTGTTGTTAATTAATGAGCAATGACATTAATCATGCAATTATTGACCAATAATGAAATCCATGTGATATTTGAACAAGAATATAGTTTAAAATAAGGAATAAAAGAGTTCATGTTGTAGGAATAAATATTCCTAAAAACCTTCTGGGACATATCCAAGCTTAAAATATTATTATCAGCTGGTTTTAGGGACGAGATATGCATAATAATTGCTCTAACATAGGATATTACAACTAATTGGTAAATTCTATGCGATCATTTGCAAATTGCATTAAAAGTCTGTTGAAGGCAGAAAGGGGGAAGTCCAGTAAAGCGAACCTTCATGAGCGTCGGGGCGTAAACTTCGTTCAAGAAGTTAAAGCAAGCGCCTTCACTCTGTTCAGAGTGCTTGACGTCGCTGCTGGTCACACAACACAGAATGTCGTATCTGCTAGCCTGAGTATATGAGAAAAGAGGGGTATAACAATTTGTCAGACGATATAAAATATATAATTCATAAGGAGGTCGTCTCGTCACATTGTAAGCCACCACATTAAAGCGTAAATTGTACTATCACATTATATTGCAACTTAAAAAAAACGACCGGACAGAGCGATTTAAAAAGATATATATTTTTTATATTAAAGTATATGTTCATAATTTTTTTATAGCAATAGAGCCCATTAGCTTTACAAATTAGTCTTAGATGCTATTAGTTTGCAACGAATCAAAATAATTGGTATGTATTGCACCTTGATTTAGTTTGCTATGCATCTAAACAATTGTTATGTATTGCACCTTGATCTAGTTTGCTATGCATCTAAATAATTGTAATGTATAGCACCATGATCTAGTTTGCTATGCATCTAAATAATTGGTATGTATTGCACCTTGATTTATTTTGCTATGAATCTAAAGAATTGTTATGTATTGCACCTTGATTTATTTTGCTATGCATCTAAATAACTTTAATGTAAAGCACCTTGATTTAGTTTTCTATGCATCTAAATAACTTTAATGTATAGCACCTTGATTTAGTTTTCTATGCATCTAAATAACTTTAATGTATAGCACCTTGATTTAGTTTGCTATTAATCTAAATAATTGTAATGTATAGCACCTTGATGCGTCTGGCGTCGAGCGCAATAAGGGCCACAAAGCACGTCATCTGCAAGACGAAGTCGATGATCAACGCCAGCGCCGCGTACAGCGAGAACGAGTACACCGCAGGCATCGGCGACAGCGCTCCTGCATTATTAATTAATGTCAGCATTATTACATTAATGTTACATATTGTTACTATGTTATATATACACGGCAGGCATCGGTGACAGCGCTCCTGCATTATTAATTAATGTCAGCATTATTACATTAATGTTACATATTGTTACTATGTTATATATACACGGCAGGCATCGGGGAGAGCATTATTACATTAATGTTACGTATTGTTACTATATTATATATACACCGCAGGCATCGGTGACAGCGCTCCTGCATTATTGATTAATGTCAACATTATTACATTAATGTTACATATTGTTACTATATTATATATATATACACGGCAGGCATCGGCGAACGCGCTCCTGCATTATTGATTAATGTAAGTATTATTACATTAATGTTACTACATTATATGGAGTGTATTGTGTATTTTTTAAAGGTATTCCGCTGTTACAGTTTACTCCATAATATGGAGTATGCGGTCCAAAATAATGAATACATAGGAATATATACTCCACAAAAATTTTCAATGAAAAACATTCAAATTGCTTAAATCAAAAATGGAGAATGATTGAATAGTATTTCTTCGAATGTAGATTTCAGGCTCATTTAGAAATGTTCAAGGAAATGAATTAAAGTTTAATATTCATTGAAAAATGTAGCTTTATAAATCATAATTTCGTTTGATATAATTATGCAGAAAATTATTGTTGTTAAATTAGCCCAGAATAAACAATTAAATAATTAATAATTTAAAAACTTTCTTTCTCACTCAGTGAGAAATGAGGCCAAAAATCTACGGGCATATTTCAGAATGTTTCGAATAGTACGCAAGTCTGAAAGTTAGTGATTGAATTTACACGCAGACCAAGCTTATCGTTGCAATCATAATTTCCGACTCGGTATGACTAATTATACACAGCCTGCCTCGTAAATTTTATGGGAAATAATAGAATTACTGATCATTGTGCTCTAACTTTGAAAGACAAATAGTCATTGGTTCGTGGGGGAAAAAATTCAGCGCCTTAATAATACTAATAATATTCCTTATATATTTTTGACTCCACGGCGGAACGTGTCTATTGAAAAATGATCCCATCTGAATTATAGGTTCCTTAGGGCGAAGAAGAATGAACATTATTGTTCTAAATTTCAAAGAAATATTAAATTGAAATATTTATCAATTGATCAGCAGGTAATGAAACATCCGCTGCAGGAATTGATAGTACCTAAAAAGAAGCAGAGAGCTTCCGAAGAAGTGGAGATAATAATGGTTGGTGCAACTTTTCCAACGATTCTTCCGATGTGCTCTTCAGACGTTTCCCCTTCCAGCATTGGCTCGCGCTGCCACGTTTGTACCAATATGAAGATGTTGTCTACACCAACTGCCAGCACCAAAAACGGCACAACCTGCACACGAACGAACAATTACCTAAATGAACGAAAGAACTAGTACCTCAATGAAGGAAAGAACAATATTACCTAAATGAACGAAAGAACAATATTACCTAAATGAACGAAAGAACAATATTACCTCAATGAACGAAAGAACAATATTACCTATATGAACGAAAGAATAATATTACCTCAATGAACGAAAGAGCAATATTACCTCAATGAACGAAAGAGCAATTACCTCAATGAACGGAAGAACAAATACACATGCATGTCAGCCCTAAATCCATTAGTACTGAGGTATTCATTACCATGATGAAGCATTTATTCCATTAATTCCATTATTATTGACAATAGAGTAATCGAATCTCGCCTCAATGACGAAGAGTGTAGCCTCGACCCCGCAGTAGCCGTAGAAGCCTAGAGACGAGCTCACGGCCAGCAGCACGATGATGACCCCACCCAGTCCCACCATGAGCTTGCTTTCAATCTGCCAAGTAAACAAAAAATAAATTTACGGAATTTCATATAAGTATATGAAAATTCAATCTGCAAATTTCGATAAAATTACTCTTTTTATGTGCCAATGCAAGGCGAGAAGCAACCAAAAACGCCACATCTCTTGAATTTGTTAGAGGTGGAGATAAATTTTCCTTTAACTCAGAATATACAAATTCAGTATAGAGACCGTCGGCTGAATTAGAATTCGATCATACGTGTTCTTTTGTCTGGGCGAACTTGCTAACAATCCTGCTAACAAAAACACTAAAAAGTGTGATAAATTGTCTTCATTCTGAAGTTCTTTTCCTATTCACGAAATGAAGTTTTATTATTAGTTTTATATTATACTTTTTTGAAAAATGAGGCCCACCTAATTCATACTAATTTTATTAGCATTAATAATAGAAAATGACCATCATCCTGGAGAGCTTGGCGGAGAGATTGCCGAGAGCGATGGTGATGTAGGCGAACATGAGCACGTAGCTGAGCGCTATGGTACCTAAGTCCCCGACGCTCTCCCTCATCAGCTCGTTCTCTATGCCGCGCTCAGCGTTGTACGCTATGTCCATCAGGCTGCTGTTGTAGTCCTTCATGAAGTCCAGGAAACTGTGCAGATTTAATAAAATTTGAATGAATTCCCATGTTAAATTACAAAATATTCGAGGAATCAAGGGATTGTGAAAAACGCAGCCATTAAGCGAAAATTTTCATTTCGGGGAATTATTTATAAAGTTTTGCTAATCGACAAAAATGTTCATGAATTAGGCAAAATTCGGTATTCAGTTTTTTATCGACATTTTTATGCAAATAGTCAATAAATAATCAATATAATTTACAAATATAATTTGATCGCTATTCAACCATTTCAATTGAACTGAAAAAGAATTTATGATGAATTGATGAATTAAATGCAGAGAATAAAAATATTATCCTTTGTACTATCGTCAGACACTTACACTTGCTCCCAGGCAAGAGCAGGGCCCAGCTGAGATTTATCAACATAGTTCTGCAAGGTGATGATAATAATAAGAGCTGTAGAATTGAAGTAATCCGGATTTTCAGACAAGGATCCTGAATCCCCCTCCTCCAAAAATCCTCCTAGTGCTGTGTACGGTAGCACCGGTCCACCGTACGAACCCAGGCAGTAGATATTATCCACGTTCGTTGGATTGCTGGTCGGCAAGAATGGGAATACTTTATTAAAATTAGATACGTCGTTGAGAAACTCTGCAAAGGCATTTATAATCGCTGAATAGGCAAAAGAAGAGTAAATATTAGTGAAATACTACGAAAAAGAATTATATATATGTGAAATATGGAAGTACAAATTTCCCGCGTGAAACTGATTCAGAATTACAAAAGATTAAAATGACGACACGCGGCAGATCACAAAAATCTAAAACGTTGATATCGCAGAAGAAAATGCAATTGAGGAAAGTAGAAAATGATGGAAACGTGTCCGAAATATGTAACTGAAAATTATTATATTATTTCTTTTGCGGCGAAATCTTGCCTTTTTATCAGATTATTTTTTGTTTCTCGCGCATATATTTACTAAACCTAATTTTAATTTTCTACATGTGTGTTTTGAAAACCATGTAAGCAAACTTAAATGTTGCAAATAATTAAAGCAAAGAATGACACTGCAACAATGTCTACTAAAATTAACTTTTTGAGTTGCTTAAAGGCTTGGCAATAAATGTTTTTAAAGCAAAATCTTCAAATTATCAAGCAATAGTTTGAGAAGCATTTCTTTCGTCTAGAGCATTTTAAAATTATTGAGAACTAAACTAAGCCGACCAATATTTTTCATTCGAAACACCATGTAAAGAATATTATTAGACTGTTGTGTTCTTTCTTCTTAACATTCAATTTACTATTTACTACTGCTTTTATGTCGCAACCTGTGTTATAAATTATTTTTTTCTTGTTAGTCTAACTTAAGTGCAACCTAATTTTATACAACAATTTGCATGTTTTTACAGAACCCGATTTTAATAAGAATGAACGACTACCATTGTGATTCAAACCCTTCGGAAGCGAATATTCGCTTAAGAGAGTAAAATATTATTATCTACGGTCTGATGTTCTCACCTGATGCATTTAACCATTTTATTGTAGTAGGCATAGCCATCTTCGATGTCGATGGCGAGAGACGTAGCGTTGTTTTGCCAGTAGTTCATCACGCTCATCACAAGACAGTCATCCATCTTTGGTGACAATGGCTTGGTGCATACGTCGTTAACGATAACGGGTTTACCATCGTATTCCGCTTGCAACTGTCAACACAAGATGGAATAATTAGAATCTTCTTGCGTCAAGAGATGGTATCATTATACAACATGAGTGCCACAGCTTCTAACTAAAGATGTCTACATAATACTAAAGGAAAAATTATAAATAATTCTATAATGAAGCTCCTAATTCCGCGCATAATATAACTTAAACGCATTTAATTTTCAACTTTCAAATGCTACGACTAAATGGGCTACCGTGTCATTACGTTCGCTTTCACAAGATTAGCTTTCAAGTTGCAATGATTATTAAATCGTCGCCAAACTGAAGTTAGTTATTAATTCATAAGTGCATTTATTGGCGCGCCAAAATTCAGATAATTTCAAACGATAATTAAAACCTTCATCGTATCATTAATTCCTTAAAATAATTAAACTGAGATACAACAAAACCAAAACTGATAAAACTTGAATATGTGAATTATATTCTAGGGTATTAATATTATTGTCATGACACAACTTAAAACAGGAAATTAATGCTGCGTACCGCCAAAATGTCGGTCTGGAGATCCATCGCAGCCTGAACGAACGAGGGATCCAGGGCGGGTCCGAAGTAATAGTAGTAATCGAGCCCTGATGGATCGTGAATGGTCACGTTCCTCTGAAAGGGTGTTTTTTTGTGACAATGAGTAAAAAAACTCATATATACTCAAACACTTCAAAATTGATCTGGCTAAAAATTAGCAACGGAAGTTTGTCTAAGATTTTCTGCGATTTTATAATTAAATTTTGATTTTAATTTGATTTTGAACAAGTGGGTTCCGCAAACACATTAGCGAAAACTATTTCTTCAAACTAACTAGGAACTTTCCGAGCTCTGGAAGTTGATGGAAATGAACGTAATTAAATTGTTCGTTTTAGGCTCATCTTTCAGTGCTTTTTTCAACATTGTGATTAGAAATCTGTCGTAATTAGATTTAAATACTGCATATTTTTTACTCACGCCATCAATGGGAATTTTGGGCGTCATTATAACTTGCGTTGTTCTGTAAAAGGGAGAGAAATGCTCGTCAAAATAATTTTTTTCCTGCAATGTACGCGACGTCTTGGAGGCCCACAGGCTCACTGGGTCAGTCGTTACCTGAAGAATAAAAAATAAATAAAATGGTGAAAAAATGAGGAACAAATGATGAGTTATTATTATATGAGTTAGCCCTTATATTATTCTACCATCCGAAATGCTACTCCTACCTGAAATGTTGAGTTATCTGGATATGTACGAATGTTATATCAAAATGATATAGGTAGGAAATTTAATGGAAAAATATTGCCGAATAAAATAACATTTTTCACGGGAGTCTTACAAAAATAAACATGTCTAAAGTAAATATATGTTCGTTCTAAATCTTGATTAAAACAAAATGAATTTACTTCTACAGGATTATTGACATTTTCCTGTAAATTCGAAACGAATTTGATTTTTAAAGTACCATGCTATGAATATCGGCAATATTTCACGTTGACTGTTTGTAGGTTATTAAGCACACAGATAAGTGCAAATAACGTATTCATGCCACGCATTTTACTGCGCACTCACTTTCACTCTGCACATACGAAATTGGAAATGACGATATGGTGTTACCCTTACCCTAACATTGTGTTACGAAATATAAATAGTCGCAATAGTTACATTTTCTTCCAAATTTGGAACAACAATTTATACATTTTTCTTGAGTGTCTTAATTTTAAAAACAGAAATTTTAGTATACAATTTTTCAAAATAATTCTATCACATCCAACTGTAACTTCGTTGTTCTTAGGTGTAACTTTTATATCTTGTTCTGAATATAGATTTAAGACAACGCATTATCATAGATGTAACTCAAGCTCATACAGGATTCACCTTCATACAATTTATTTCTAATTTTAGGGAGGACTTTATCTAAATTTGCGTCGTAGGTACTTACTTTGAGCAAGAACATGCCTCCGCTGAGACCGAGACAAAGCAGCACGCATATAACAATAACCGAGTACGGACTTTTGGCCACCGCTGCACACATTGAAATTTAACTATTAAATCAAATTACATAAAATATATCTTCTAAAATATTTTATATTGTATTTTCTTCCCAAGCCTAGGTTACTATTTTTAGAAATAATATTTTTCAATATTTAATTTATTTCATTTCAACCACTACACAATAAGAATTTTTTGGACGACTTTGAGCGAATTTAGAATAAATGTAGGGGCCATGATCTGTTATTACAAGATTCTATCCGAAAGTTTGCTGATTGCACGCATTTAGACAAGAAATATATTCGCGCTGAGATAAAAATTGGCAATCCCCAGTGCACAAAAACGATTACTTAACTTGTAATAATATGTCAGTTAACGTAATTCTAACCTGTAGCGAAGGTAGCAAAGTTTTCAGAAATTGATTTCTCGAGAGCAGCAGACACGATCTCTGTGAAGCTCGGCTCCTGCGACGTGTCTTTTTCTTGCCGCAATCCTTCGCGCTGTGTCCCGCCTGCTTCTGTTACTGTGGAGCCATCCGTTTTATCTTACAAAAATTCTTAGTTCGCTAACAATTTTCATTTTTAAATATCAATTTTTAATTACCAACAACTAATTTTTAAATTTCGATTTTTAAACACCAACTACTAATTTTTAAATTGTAGTTTTTAAACACTAACAATAAATGCCGTAAATATAATAGTATCTCTACAATTTTTTTCAGTTTTCCTTGGCACAATAAAATATCTGTTCCAACTACTGTAGTTCGAATCAAGTATCGATTTCAGACCTCTAACCATTTATGGTTTGCTGGCTATGAAAGCGCCAGTATTAATTAAATGTTCAAATAAGCAGGCATGTCATGAATAAAATGGTAATTTACGTCCTTTAACGAACGTTTGAAAACAAAATATAAGGCTGCTAACCTTTAGGAGTAATACGCTTCGCCGTATTCTTGGTATTATTTCGATTCCTAGTCACTGCATACGTGACCAAGATGATCGTCGTTTCAGCGATGAACACCCAAATCATGATGAACGTGAACAGGTGCATGGATCCGACCGTGATAGGTTCGTCGACTTCGGGATCCGGAGGTAAAGGTGGACAGGAATTCCGACAATCCGAGCACAGACAGAATAATTTGTCCTGCAATGAAAAATGTGTAATAAAAATTTTTCGATTTTTAAATTAAATTAAAATGTAATTAAATATTTTTATTTTTACCTTGAAAATTTCACGCCTATCAAGAGGTGTCAAAATAACGCGGGCAACTTGAAATCGATGAAATTGAAATTACTATACACTAAGAACTAAATAAAAATTCACATTAAAATAGTGTGTAACTAGGATTAGATTAATTTCAAAAAATTGTAATAGAGCAAACGTCGCTCGATAATTGGACATAGGTGCTACTCAATACTCATTTCTTTGAAGATTTTTCCTTGAGATATTTTTGGAATAAGACCGTAAAATCCAGTTTAATATCGTCGATTTATTTGATTAGGACAGCAGCAATTTCGCCCTGAGTTCGTTCATTTTCTTTCAAAGTAATCGGTTAAAATTCACTCTCTTTCTTACAAACAATCGTTGAAAATTCGATAACACAGTTCAATAAAATAGATCAGCTAAGGTTCAAACAATATTCTAGTACCAACGAGCTTTTAACCCTCTACCGCCTGACATGAGTAACCGGAGCAATGTTGTCACGCGCCTACTCCCCAAAAAGGATACCTTACTAGTGAGCGCAAAATGACTTGCACTGATGGTTGCCGCCACGTACGACGACTTTAAAATGGTCTCTGTTGCGTACAAACGTCCTCAGGTTGCTATACTCAATAGTTTACGAATAATTTAAATCGAAAGTTATGTTCCCGGAGAGTGACATACGGCGGTAGAGGGTTAAATAACAATTGCCATAAAATGTGGCATGCAAGAAGCTCGTGATTATTTACGGGAGAATCGCATGGCGAAGTAGCCACTTCGAGCGGTTTCATCTCCTTTGGTATGCCGTTGTAGTCTACAGCGCTGGCCGTAGAAGAGTTCGTATACTCCATGGTGATGTTGAAGGGAGCGAAGCTGTTTATCCCGAAGTAGTCGAAAAGTCTGGTTTGCAATGAAAACAATAGTAAATATTAATCTTTTCTATTCAATAAATTCTTATTTTAAAATGATTTGCAAATTGCAACGAAAATTTAGAATAACTTACTTGTAACATGCATTGATTTCTTATCATAGTATACAGTAGACTTCAGTTTGATAAAATCAGCGATAGAATGTAATTATTTGTGGATTTTTTTTTGCACTATTCATTTCGTTAACTCTCAACACGGGCTTAAAGTTTAGCTCATTCATGCAAAATTTCAGCTTAAAATCAATAGATTTCAGCTTTAAATTAAATAAATGCAGAAAAAGTGATTCATAAAACTTAATAAGTAGTAATCGTCCCAGTCAGGAAATTAAATAAGTAAATTTTTCTATCCAACCTTTCAGGGGTACAACTTTTCCCCCACTGGCCGCATATCATCGTCAGTGCAGGCACGGCCATCTCAGGGTAGAAGACCTCGTCGCACGAGTCGAATATTTTGTTCGCGTACTCAGAGTTCATGAAAGTCGTTAAAGTCAAAACGGACGCTGTTGAGAGAACAATTAAGTGTATTCATGTTCATTGATTGATTGAAATATATCAATGTTACACTAGACATATTTTATCAAGGGTAAAAGTAACCCGTCACTCAATTAACTGTGTTTTATGCTGCGATTTTACAAGAGTCTAAGGGCACGCATAAAAATTTTTTATTACCGAGACAAGCTTTATTGGTAAGAGATTGAGCACCAGGAATTAGAAATCTAAGTTACAGAATCTTTTCATACAGTAATTTGATTGAAATTAATTGTCATTCAATTTTGAATCAGATTATATTTAAACGGGGATTTATTATGATACGAAACAAATTATATGACCTACTTTCATTATAAAGTGAAGTTGCGAGGTTAAAATTAGACGAAACAAATCATACCACCTACTTTGATTATAAAGTGAAGTTACGAGGTTAAAATTGGACATGTGTGGCGAGCAGGCGAAGTTACAGAAGTAGTTCATGAGGTTGTTCTCGCACGCTGGGCATCTGCCCACAAAGTTGCTCAGCATAGACAGCTGCGCCGTCATAATTTCAATGTTCTTGGCATCGCAACAGGTATAAAGTGACCCATTTGTGTTGAATTCTGCTCCTGAAATTGATTGAGTTTGTTAAATTTTACTAAAATTATAATAAAAATGTTACTAAATTCTTATAAAAACTTTTTCTTTTCATCAGCACGTCTAATTTCATGTGTTCGGCTAATAAGAAAATTGACAGATACGACTTTCTAAAGCAGAAATAAACCTCTTCAAGATATATTCAATAGGCGGAAATTATTAAAGAGTAATCGGTATTTCTAAAAACTAATATTGTGAAACCATTTGTTTCATTTAAATGTCCTTTAGTTTATGTCAAGTCTCAACTGGAGCCAACCAGACTTCACTTATTTATAATGTAGTTGCAAATGTAAATGAAGTCTGTACCAATACATGCCTATCTGTATTTTGGTTAGCGAGAAAAATCGTACCAAATACTCACTTATATCACGGACCATGTCTGGGCAGTAGGCATTCAGTTTGCCTTCATAAATGCCGTAGGGATCATCAAGCGGCTTAGGAGGCCCTTCATATAAGCAATTCAAGTCCATGTCTCCCTTTCCCGGCTCCGGGTTTTTCGAGCAAATCCCGTACATAACGCACTGGCCACCTTCTGTACCCTTCGGTGCATTATCTTTGTTTGAGTTCAACTTATTTTCCAGAGAATTAACTTCATTTCTTTGCTCGAAGACTGGGCCATTTGCTTGTAATTCGCGACTTTGTATTTTTGTGTATTCAAGAAATGGTATCGCATTTGCGTATTTTGATTTGTTATGTTCACTTGAATGAGCTGATCGAGCTTCATGCTGATATTTTATACCAGTTTTTCCAGTAGAAGACATTCTATGTTCAGATTTAGGCTTGCCATCTGTACTACTGGATATTTTATTTTCAATACTAGGTTGTGCAGATTTTAGTTTTAGTATGTTATCATCTCTGGGTTTCAAGTTTGCTTCTGTCGCATTGAAATCTTTGTAATATTTCTGCCCATCTGACTGTACTGCTTCGAATATCGATGACTCATGAAGATATCCATGTGCTTTATCCTGAAGAGATTCTTTGTTCCCCTGGAAATAAAGAAGGATATCAGGGAATGTTATTATACATAAGAAAAATCAAAATGTTAGGGAATAGTGAGGTACGTTCAACGTTCATGTACCCCAATTTCTAGTGAAAAGATCAAACGTGCAATTAAATGTCGTCTTTCTCATATGGCCAGAGTAAAAACAGGAATAATTTTACGATTGAGCCGACAGTCATTCTTGTCAGTGATATCGAAAAAAAATAATGCGTGAGTGCTCCAATTTGCAAAGTTTTTATTGTTTTATCACTAAATAGGTGTGAACAATTGAACATCTTAAATTTTGATGAAGATGAGTTTGGTTCACTTCGAAATTTCCCAAAAATTAATTCAATCCTGGAGATTGTTAATTAGGTGGTTGCGTGTTTTGTCTGCAGAAAAAGGAAAAAAATGTTAAACCGTCACTTAAGTAACTGTGTTTTAAGGAGCGAATTTACTCTATTCCACATTATCAACGTTGAGCAGGGCAACAAAAATCTCGTTCAAGTGATACTTTCATATTCATATGTGTACTAACGATTGTTCTCTATTGCAGCAAATTGTTTTACAAAACTCATAATGAAATTACATCCATACAATTCTATGCTTCATAACATGTGCTGTTTTTATGCCGTATCTCTTCGTCATGAGTGTGTTTGTCCAATTATACTTGATAAGAAAATTTTCAAGATATCCTGATTGTGAGATCTTTATCAGGATCACGTGAAGTACCCGAATTCACCCAGAGGGCCGAGGAAAGACCTTTGCCTCGCATAAGGTGAACCTGCAATCATGACAGATAATTTTTCTTGCCAGCCAGTGTGGGGTACGGCCTGAAAAACTAAGCCTTGCTAAAGACCTAAAAGTTGCTATATAATTTATATATGTAATTCTCTCATTATCGTAGAACTTGTTAAATTTCGGTTTACTAATCTCTAACAAACTACAATGCGAAATTAGCAGTTCTCCGTATTATTTGAGCAACAGTAATCGAACAAATCTGTCCCGAGTGACGCATTCGTTGAATATCACGTGGGTGAGCGGCAATATTTAGGATTGTATATAATATAACTACGCAAGATGTAATAGCAAAAGGAAATATCAAGTGTAGATGCATATGATCAAATTTAAAACTGTTCGGAGATTCGGAATTGCTTGCGTAAATAAAAGGATTACATTTACTTCATATCATTTATGGTCGACTACTCAAGGCGTGGTTTAAAATTATAGCGTCCGCAACTTTAGCATCATCGATGTAAAAGAGGATACTATATATGCTGTTATGAATAAACTCTTGCACTTGTTATGAATTCCATCTGAGACATTCTAATCTAATTCTGTCATCAAATACGAGATCAAGCATTTACTAACTCCACTGAAAACATAAATTTCAAGTTCACTCAATGGGAGCATCCAACACTTTCCGTCTGCAACCTTTACGGATTAAAGACTGGTCTTAATGGTTCATAATTTAATTTTAGGTGTCTGAAAATCATTTTGTTATGGTATTTGAATTCGGAAACCCACTTTCTAATAATTTTCATTGAATTTGAATCATTCTTCTAATAAACCTGTTACGGTGTAGATAAATAAAGAAAATTTACGACTAGAAGATAATTGAGTACCAATTACATCTGAATAATAAGACAAGGTGGCAAAACATCATTATTTAATTCAGTTAGAAACCCAAGCAGATGCAAAATTTTATTCCTAACACCATCGATTTATCATTCAATATTACCTAGACTGAAGAGTCCAACGAGTGGCTTAACCTTGAGCAGAAATTAATAATAGTGATAGCAACCTTGCCATAAGTCCGCCTATATATACTCTTCTACCCGAGACCATTAGATTGCATAGCATCGAGTTTTCAACTTGGTGCGTCAGTCTACATCTGGCTAGAAACATGTTGGTGATCGATATTTTATTAGTTAATGTAACTTAAATTAATTTATATGATTATTCATTTGATGTTTAGCGAAACAAATTTGAGTGTAAGGAGAACTTGTGTAGCAATAAAGTAAAAAAATCGGATTTAAAAATAAACCATCTCAATTTATTCGAACCTTGCCTCTACCCTGAAACTGGGTAACCCTAGGAAATTGCAAAAGCCTGTCAAATTTTGACTAGTAATAGCTGAAGCGATAATTTTAATAACATAATTAGATAAATGTTGAATTTCTGTGAAATTAGTGTTCCTATGTATGAGGTAGCCAATCAATTCATTTTTCATATGATTTCTACATAGAAGAAAGTCAAATAAATAATTTGAACCTCATTCACCCACGACCGAAACCAGAACTGTCATAAATTTCATTACATAGAATTTCGAAATTTCGCCCAAGCTACGATAGAATTTTTAGAACTGGTGTTTTTCTCGTGCAATTCATGAATTTCGAACCTTTGCAAAGCACTGTACTCGAATTTCTTAGCCACACACAAGCAACTATTTCCTCAACTATATTACCATACAAATTTTCAAGTTCGGTAATTCTGTTACGTATTACAATTCGACGCATCAAATGATTCGGTATTTTGTATACGTGCGCCAAGCATAACACATATTTCATTAAAGTCTAAACTACAATATAGGTAGCCGGTATAGGGCCGATGCCGATGAATCCCTATACCTATACCCAATATAGGTAACCGGTATAGGTATAGGGAACAGTCGCTAGAAATTTAACGTAAGAGACATTCATTGTGATATCCTCTATCGTAGTGTTGTAGCCACCAAACTGTTCCCGTGATAGCTCCTATCATTAGTTCAGATAACAACAAATCACTCAAGTTTCTCAGATGATAGGCAACCAGAGCTTATGTTTCACAGTAAAAGCCAGCGAATAATGTTAATATTATTAATTATACTATAAACTTTTTGAATGCAAACTGTATTAAGCCATTCTGGATATACACTCTTAAAATTCTTATTGTTCGTATGCCCTGTCACAGTTAGACCTAAATCTTGGCCTCAAACCCACATGCCTATATTCAGCTTCAAGTATGCATAGCAGAAGACATGTTGGAAGGCCACCGGATTTTGAAATACAATTTTTTATGAAGGTTGATGTTTGCACAGGTCATCTTGTAGGCGTCTTAAATTTCATAGCGTACTTTGAATGCTAATGAATCATTTTGATGAATGAAGTCAAACTATCTATTGTTATCTATCGAAGAGAAAGTTTGTGAGCGTGTTTGTCAGAACTTTGAAATTAAAATACGAGTCTGCAAGACCCATTTGAGCGCGTATCCACAATACAAATATATAATATATATTGTGTGCGTATCTACAATACAGTTTTCCAGAAAAATTTAAACATCTTTTTAATTGTACTTTTCAATTATATTTTAGTGAACCAACATAAGTTTAAAATTATCAACGAGATTTTTAAATTTCATTACGCTATATGCTTACTCGGATGGCTAATTTGCTAGCAATTTTTATCAATCAGAAGCCATGTTAATAGTCATTTGAAGATATTGCCTTTCAAACTTTGAAGAATAAATGACGTCGAAGTACCACTTGTCGCTAATACTATAGAGGTAATGGCCAAAATTATATTGTTAAGGTCTAACAATGGTACATGAAAATATAATTTAGAGTGAAGAACTCACCGCTTTCACCGCAGATGGCAATTGTCTCTAATACTATAGAGGTAATCTCCAAAATTATATCGTTTAGGTCAAACAAAGGAACATGAAAATATAATTTAGAGTGAAGAACTCACCGCTTGCACTGCAGATGCTAAGACGAGAAGCACCAGCACCGCGACAGCGAGAGGCGTAAGAGATGCGTGCGCCATGGCTCCACCACGTGTTGCTTGTCTGTAAAGTTTTTGCTAGTTTTAAAAGTGCTGCTGTATATTTCAATGGCAGTTATATATTTCAAATAAAAATAATTTAGAGATTGTAATGTTGTATGTACCAATTTATATCTATCCATATTTTATTATCGCTGACCTGGTTTAGTGCCACAAAAAATATGGTTTCTGACTGGTTTAATGTGTAGCTCTTCAGCCAGTTTTGAAATTGCTGCTTATGAATTTAAATAATTAAGTAATTTCGAGCTTCTAATGTTGTATATACCTATTTCCTTCTACCCTAATGCTATTATTACTAATCCTCTTCACTATCTCAAAATAAACATGCTTTATACCTGGTTTGAAAATAGCAATCTTAGTTATTAATTATGAACTATCATTTGATGATAATCAGCCAATAACTTCATTTTATCTGACAAGAGCAAATTTTAAGAACTTTTAAAACCTAAACATTTTTCGCATTTCGATTTCGATTAAAAACTTTTGCATCATTAATGTTTAAGTTGAAATCTAATATAAATTTCTATTCAAAGTTCATGTCAGCAAATATTTTATACTATACAAAATATATTAACAAATAGAGAATTAATTATAAGAATATATTTAGCCGTTAAAGTGTGATGGAACTTACATCAGTCTTCGGTCTTGCTTCCAGTCTTGCTCTTCCAAAGATACCAATCTTATAACAGAGGATATGAAATTCTTATTAACCGTAATAAAAACCTAATTTTCTTCCGCATAAATTTCACACAGATTATAAACTTTTATAATATATAATAAGCATGAACGTAAAAAATCTCAAAGATAATTTTTAACATGTGATGAGCGAGTTTCAACTTTAACAATGTGCCTAGTATGACTAACACATCACATCGTTGCTCATGTACTAGTAAAATGTACGAGTAGCTGCTGTACTCGCACCAGTCAGCGCAGTGAGACACTCACTCCTGACACCACCTCTGATATAGCATCGCTTATCTCGCCCACCTGGAGCTACGTATCTCAGTTACGCAAATCATTACTAATAAATGTCAGTCTCAACCAATGTGTGTTGCTTCTAGACTAGAACCAAACCAATGTGTTGGTTCTATGTGTTTGGTTCTAGATCATGTAGGTAGGTACCATAGAATATCATCTTCTAATGTTATAGATTATTATTTTCTAATATTATTGTTAATAGAAAAAACGAAAATTCCGTATGATATATTTTGATTTTACCGGAATTTTAAATGTACACGCGGGATCATATATCACGGTGTATTATTATATGTTAATAATGCATCACTTTTTATTTGTTGCAGCAATGAGACATTTAAATTTTTACAATTAACTGCGATTAAGTTTGTATTTTTAATCGCAGTTATATATGTAGACTTTATTCAATGATAGCCTGAATACTTCACTTATATAAAAGTATATATGAAACATTTTTTCCTTTCAAGTTACCACACTCCAAAATACTGTTCCCACCGCTCCTCTAATCAGAATTCGGAAGCTTAATATTGTACAAGAATAATGATATTGGAATGACGGTAATTAATGACTACTGAGAGCCATTTTTACTTAGGCCTTATTGATAAGAAGTTTGGAAGATCTCTCAGGTCTTTCTGTTGCTTGAGAAAGACCTGAGACAACAGAAGACCTAAGAGAGAAGAAATAATGCGATAAAGATTAATTCCAGCATAATAATTTAAGAATAAATGAAGTTTATACTCATATTGTAAATAAAAAATTGTGTGTTAAAGTATTGGGAGAAAATTCATCTGATGATAATATTGCTGGAGAAATCCTTTTTACCCCTTCCGCTCCATGCATGTAGGTTCCGAATAATTTCGATTGAGACATAGCCCACCTACTTTTAAATACTTCATCAATACATATACGTTGTGTGTTACGTTAGAAGAAGGAAAAAAATAAGTAAATTATTAAGAAATTGAGTCCAAGTAATGAATGCTTCTGTTACCAAAAATTTAGGAAATTTACCATGATAAACTCATTGTGACAAATCGAGCATTTGCAATAGCAAATAACCTCTTATTATGAGACCATAATTCAGAATTAATTAATGTGTACTAAACAAACATAGTGATTAGTACTTTGATTTGATGAGAATAATAATGCTGATATAAACGATCGCTGCAAGCATAAATTGCATAACTGATGATAGCCGGCTAAACACCTATCAAATTTACCTCTGAATTCAGCATTTGAGTTTCATGCTAAGATGTCACTCGGAAATTTTCAGTTTTGAAATTAATATTTAATAATTCTTGGAAATAAAAAATTTCAAATAAATGCTTAGAAAACAATGTAACGGTATAGGCAATGATATCTACTCCTTGCAATAATTATGATTATAATAGATTAAGTAATGGGCCTCATGGCAACCGTTATCTAAGATCTTTATCGCTTTGTATCTGATAATGATCAATTCGGCTCGAACAAGCGTGGGCTGGGGGGAAAGAGAACAAAGTTCTCAGCAAACTCACCATTTCTTGTTTTCGTAATTGCAGATTACATGATATGAGAAACACTATAGTGATATGAACAGAATATCAGAAGATTTTTCTAGTTTATTTTTCTTATTCAAAATACTGCAGCTCTAAATTACAATAATTCAAATCGGTTCATTAATCTTTCCAGTAATGAACACTGTAACCATGAAATTTACCTAGTTAATTTCGATAAAAATTAGTTCATGATCATGAAGCAATGATTTAGTATCTTGAGATTATGCAATTTCATTTTACTGTGACCTTATCAATATCAATGATTTTGAATCTACAATGATAATATGAATCCCATAGTTTCATTTAGAAAATAAATCTGAAATAGCTGGTCAGAATGCACGTGTAAAGAAATATTACGGATAATAACAGATAAGTGCAGAGGAAGGAACAAATTTCAATATACAGAACCTGACTAAACGATTATCTACATTCTTGTTAATCATGTTATCAAATAATAAGCTTTTCAGGAAAACTATTCAGTAGAACATGCACCTATACTGCAACATTTAAGTAGTATATGTATAACCTGGTGTAAAAGTTCAAGTATTATTGCTGTTTCTGCGAGCAGTATGAAAAAAAGCGTTGAAATTGTAATATACAATTGTATAACTGATGCAATATGATCTGTTGTGAAAGCGACGACTTAGCGTTATCTTTACGTACATCAACAGCTGTCCGTATCATGACTACTGAGAACGACTGCTCACTGCAAACCAAGTGGAGAGGCGGCCTCATCATGTTGCACATGTAATGTAGTATGCATCAAATTTCGGACATGGAGGCAGCTAGAGAAGCTAATTTACAAGTTAGGGCATGAAGGCAGCAGTGTGTCTACAACTGTATTGAAATCCACCATTGTATTGAAATCCAATGAAAGTGGAAAAATGCCGATTCGAAAGGATCTTACACCAAAAGAGTTTTATCACTGACAACTTTGACGATATAAAAGAAAATCGAATCAAGACTGCCTATACGGGAAACGCGGTCTGCGGTGGGATTTATGAGGAGTTCTCTTTTCAACTCACGACGGGAAGATTTGAAACCTTTCTGGAAGTTGACAAGAGCTTTCTGTCTAATTGTGAAAAGATTTTTTCATTAAGTTCTATATTTCCTAATTGTAGTAATGTAAGGACCGTGATTAGCTAACAACTCTCTCAGACACACAATAACATATTGTAATTTTGATTTCTTCGAAGTAAATATTTCTGAAACAATCACAAAGAACGAATATGCAATCGGCCAAAAACAGCAGCAATTCCTTTCCTTGGTCGAGTATATTTAAGGTTGAAGTTTCAGTTGGAAACTTTTAATACACGGGCGAGCTCACGATCTTATTGGGAATAATTTACTTGCTTGCTTTCAAGTGACTGCATATGGTACTGAATAGCAATCGAAAGGCATTTAAAGATATTTGTTGATATGCATATTCATTTCTAAAAGTCTGTTTCTAAAGAATAAACCTGACACCTGGGAAATTCAAACAGCCACTTTCAGTTATGAAGTGAACAAATTCATTGCGTTAAATGAAATTCCGAGATAAATCACGAGATATACCGTGAAACTCAATTCTAAATTGAATGAATTGTTATCGATGAAATTCGTACAGACACTGCACATTTGTGAAGCGAATGTATAAATGTATAATAAAAATAACAAGCGTTTTAAAACGGCTGAACTGACACTCGTAAAATTCATAACATAACATAACATAGTGATCTCGGCGCTGAAGCGTAGGCCTGATGTGGCCTGTCGCCGATTCTTTTCCTTTTCGTGCCTTGTTCACAGAAGATCTAATATCGTGTTATTTGACCGGATCTTTTCATGACTGACGATAGTTTGAAGTAGCTACTAGACTTCCACCGGGTTCGATATGGTGCTAGGCATTTCAAATCTGAACATATATTTTTCCATAGCTTTATCTATATAGTCTGTCTATGCATATGTATATATAGTCAATGCGCAATACGGAAATAAAAGAACGCCTCAAGTTGGATGAAACATCGAATTTAATTTCAACAGATGCTATTGGAGAACAAATTTTTAAACGACAGATCTGACACGCGTGAAATTCATACAAATATTACGCACATTAGTAAAATGAACGAATTCACTAATCAAGTCCACCTGCGAGCTAAATCGCGAAAGGTAATGTCGTAAAATCCAATTCAAAACCAATGTAACGACTTCCATACGGAATTCATGCAACCAGAGGGCAGTTGTAAATTGAATGAATTCTTATAAGAAGGGAACTTACGATCGACTAAATTAAGATATTATCCTACAACCCGTTTCCCTATAATCATCTAACTGATATTTAGGAACTGGATTACAGTTGTGAACTGAATAAATTTCGTGAATCGGTGAAACACCGTATTGAATCACTGTCAGAAAACTCAACTCTGATAGAAAATCGACTGTTAAATCGACTCTCGTGCATGGATTTAATGCAGCTGCTCCTCAGTAGTAAAGCAAATGAGTTTCTGGAGTTAAGTAGCTTAACGAGTTGGATTGCAAATATAATTGGACAACTGAAATTTGAAACGACTGAACTAACACCGACGAAATTAACACAGCCAATTCTCGAACCAAACAACGGACGCCCGTGAATTTCATATAATTATTTTGCAGCATGTAAAGGCCATAGATATTAAGGCAATTTTTCGGGAGATTTAGGCCATCTTCCGAAGTTAATCACGAATATATACCTAATTCTGAAAGTAATTAACCTGAGAATGTATTGCAGTAATAGATAAATTGATGATTTGTGATCTTCTGAAGTCACCACGTGGAGTACAAAACATTGTGGAGGCAAAGTGCAAAGGAAATTTTTATGATCTTCGAAGTTATACTATAATAGTCAATTCAATTTCATTCTGGTCACCAACTTCTATCTATTTCTAACCTATTTTTTGGTATACATAAAAATCTAACCTATACATAAAAATGAGTCGTAATACATCAAAGGAAATGAATTTACAAGAAAGTTTTTTGTATTTAATAGCTAGCTTGTTTTTTTTTGTATGTAATAGCTTTTTTAATTTTAAAAATTGATAAAATTAAAATTAGGTAATCAATCGACTCGGGTCAACAACTGGCCATGACCAAAACGTGTTCACTGATGTCGCTAGATCTTAATCAGCTCTTATCGCTGATAAAGATCTCGCCACTCGATGTCAAGTCCACTTATGATACCAAGTATGAGGCCACGTAATGAGACCGTGCAACTTTAATCATCAGGTGGTTACATGACGAATTGATTAAGATAAACTTTTCTCAGAGACTCGCTTTATCTTGCACGACAGGTAATTCCCAGACACAGAGCCTGATGGTGCCATGCTCTATACCTTGCTTTTTGAACCATATCTCGTTATTTATTGCATCGTCTGATCATAATGATCGTATATTGCAC